GCTATGACATGATTACGAATTCGAGCTCGGTACCCGGGTAAATAGCTACATTTTTAAAAGAAGTTTGACGCTTCAGCCCTATTTTGAAGAAAGTTATAGTCGAAAAACCAAAAGCTGTTAGATTTTTGTCCGGTACTGTACCAAAATTGTATGAAAATGATCTGAAATTTCTTTAGGATGAAACCACCTCTCCGTCCGTAAGAGTCAACAGGGCGTCCAGGACTACGAGCAACAGTTATCTACGGCTAATCAGAACTTCCAGCAGGAGCTACCCTAACCTATGGTCCATTAACTATTGCACAGCGAGAGCCACCAAACCCACGATAAGCTACACCGAGGAGCACGAGAACGTATTGAAAAAAAGCAACTATCTTTTGCTTCTATCCCGGTAACAGCACCTCAAATCCAACGCTGCTCGGAATTCAATCCTCAAAATTCGCACATTTTAGGTGAGATTTTGGGCCTTTTTGGTCTGAAAAATCGTTTTCAATAACTCAGGCAAGGTAAAAAGAAATATATAAGTACTCGAAGCTGGCTGAAATTGATCTAAAATTTTTTCAGAATGCACTCCCCACACTATATCCAAAGACCACTTCAGACGAATTGCTAGCATCTGTCGCAGTTCAAAACAGCATGTGTTTTGGATTCGGCTCGTCACGACTCCAAATTCGCCAATATAAACGTTCGAAATTTTATTTGGGAGAAAGGATTTCAAAATTGTCCCAAAAGCAATTGGAGTAAATGGCCACCGAAGCTCAAATTTGTCAGAAGAAAACAATTCGAAAAGTAGATTCTGTGGCAGTAGCTGGAAGAATGCCACGGGGAAGGATGCCTCAGATTGCTTATCTTTCCTAGGGAGTGATGCGTACAGTGTCCAGCAGAAGACCAAATCCGCAGGCTGGTGAAATATTGGAGTTGGCTGGTGAAATATTGGAGAAATATTGGAGTTGTGATGCAATGGCGACAAATTCTATATTACCGCCGAAGAAACGATAAGAGCCTGAAGCGGAAACGACGAGGTCTTCGGGACCACCGCCCGCGAAGAAGCTGAAAAATTTATAAAGCGGAAACTCCGATAGTGCCTCCAGTGACTCCTATACAGCAGCAAGAAGTTCAACCAATGGAAACGCTGTAGACAACAATTTGTAAGTTTTTTGACTTCATAAAAACTAAAGATCGAAAATAATCTTCTCACTGTACTGTATTAAAGCTGCAAAAAGACAACAAGTATTTTTTATACTGATTCATGAAAACTTTATGGAGTTGGTCGAAAAAAGGTTAAAAAATAAAAACTCCGTGCATTTCCGGAAATTGTCAGGAACATTAAGACTCAGTTTGAAGGTGTGGATACCGACCATCTGAAAATTTTAAGAACATTTCGTTTCGCTTGATATTAAATTTTTTGGAAAATTGACTCACTAGAATTTCTCCATTTGTCTTTATCATAATGGCTCCTCCAGTCTTCAATCCTATGGCCACTTTTTCGCTGGTTAATCGTCTTGCATAATCGTCTTCCACTTACACTCAACTAATTATTCAAAGATATCCTTATTCGTTAATAGAGCTACAGTGCGGTCAATATCTTTAAGACCCCCCTTGATTTTGAGCGCGCAGAAAAAACTAAAGGAGATATTGAAAAATTGTAAACGCCATTCGATTCAAAATTCAAAATAATCCAAAAGACAAAGTTTCTCGAATTTAGCACTTTCCCTGATCATGTACCATCCAAAAACCGATATGCAAGCGGTCATTATCTTTAAGACCCCCCCCCCCCCCCCGGATTTTTCGATGATCCAGTTATAATTTTCATTAGAAGATTTTCTGAAAGCGCCAAATATCAATCTAAGCAATGTTTTTATATGGTCCTGAAAGTTTTCAGATTAAGAAGTTGGTTTCTGAAAATTCATCTCACTATTTTCGCTGTTTTTGGGAGTGATTTTGGTTTTATAGAAAAACCCGGAGTTCTACATGATGGAATTCAATGTTATTTTATTTTTTGGAAAGCTCTTATCCCCATTTCGATGTCATGGTTTAAAGATATTGCCCGCACTGTATATTTGTTTGGTCCGGATTCCACTTCATGTCCAAAATTTCTTGGGACACTCTCAAATATTTCAAACTATTATTAACACAATACAAAAAACCGTTGACTCACTTCTCTCGTTTCAAAAGTCTCAACATTCCGTTCTGATGGTTGGCCTTGAAGATTTCCATAACTCTGCTCGAAGTCCAGGACGAGTTCCAGTTTTAAAATTTCCGATATTCTGTCAAATTTGAAAATTGAGATGGCACCAATAGATCCAACAATTATCACATTGTGGTGACGGTTTTGTGCTATGAAACTTTTGGCGATCAAATCTAGAGTGCCACATAATATGATATTTATCTTAAAAAACAGTTAATCAAATTTTTATAACCGTTTTCACTCACCTCTTCAACATTTGTAATATTGGATTAAACTATTGGGGTCAGGGCTGGGCGAGCAATCGGCTTTCGTCGGAAACGAATTGCAAAACACGCGCAGAACGAGATTAAAGACGCACGCAAGTCGAAACCCGCCGGCGAAATTGCGTGCGCCTTCAATCTCGTTTTGCAAAACAAAGGCGGAAAATTTGCAAAGCGTGAAGGTTTTTCTCCCTTCCTCGCCCACCCCTGGTTCGGGTCAATGTAACATTCTATCTAGTAGGGCCAAAATTCAGTTTCATATGGTTCGATTTCCGAAGCAGACAGGAACCATCGGAGATCCAAGAGTTACTTTAAAAATTAATTGATTCTCCCATGTCAACAAAAGCCTTTTATTTTTCAGAAATCCACGCTTCGAGAATAAGAATTGCAGCACCATGTTCATCATATATTTAATCCTATATTTAATTATTCCAAGATGAGCAATTCATCTGAACTTCTAATAATATTTTATTTCTTTTCTTCCTATCCGGAGGCAGCTAGAGCAAGGTTAGTATTTTTCTATGATATAAAATCACCACTATGAATTGTCAAGGTGTATGTTGGCTTACGAATGACAACCATCTTTTCTGTTTGTTACGGTGAAAAATGATCCTTATTTTTAAACAAGTTCAATTCAATTTACTGCGATTCAAAAAATAGGGACAATTTCGAAAGAAAAGTTTCCATTAACGAGGTTTTACTACGCCTTCTTGAATTTCCTGATCTAGCTTTAAAATCTCTCTAACACGGGAAGTACCCGAAGTGTCTGCTCCCCTTTTCTTAGATATTGGTGGCAAAATATCCCCCTTCCCTGGACTAGCACAAAACAAAACACAGAAAACTTAACTACGCATATTGTCTATCTCTGCAAAAAAACTTACTAGAATAGAAAATGTGCGAATTGTCTGATTGGGCTCACTTTTCATTTAAAAGAGTATTTTGAAAAAAACTATTTTCAGCTTCACTCATGTACCCCGTGGCAGGGGTGGGCGAGGACGGGAGAAAAACCTTCACGTTTTGCAAAATTTTCTCGTTTGATGTACAAATCGAGATTAAAGGCGCACGCGATTTCGCCGAAGGGTCTCGACACGAAAATGGCGGGAATTTGAGATTTGATTTATTTTTCAACTACGCGCTGTCGGGTAGTTATTCCCCGCAGCGGCCGACACCTCCCGGGTTCCGCCGGCCACTATACTTTGTGTGTGCGTTGGCTCCGCCCACTTTTTTCGCGAATTGCGTGTTTTTTGCAATTTGTTTCCGACGAAAGCCGATTGCTTGCCCAGCCCTGCTCCATGGTATTTTTTGAACTCATTTTTCCGGAAACAACAGAAAAGCTCTGAGAATGAAAGTTTGAGTTAATTCAGTTTCTTTTTGATAAGAAAATGATCGAACCGTAATCAAAAAGCCAAAATTTTCGAAAAAAAATGCACATGTTAAAAGTGAGCATGTTAAAAGTGAGGGTACATGGAATAGACTTTTGAAAGGTGAGCTATATATTCGGAACGATAGTTGTGCATTATGACATAAAAGGAATCAAATAGACATGGTCTCCAGAATAAGTTTTTTCAAAAATCGTCATTTGTTGATTTCACCGAATCAGACCATTCGCACATTTTCTATTCTAGTAAGTTTATTTGTAGAGATAGACAATATGCGTAGTTGAGTTTTTTGTAGCCTCAAACCCGTTCTACAAGATGCAGTTTAGTTTATCATGTTATCTTTGATCTGTACAGAGTTAAATTTTTTGAATGGACTTGATCCACTTTTTTGAAAAAATAAGAAAAAGTTTAGCCATTCTGCTCAACCTGATTGTTGACACCTTATAATATAAGTGTTGTGCTAGTCCAGGGAAGGGACACATTTTGCCACCAATATCTAAGAAAAAGCGAGCAGACACGTCGGGTACTTCCCGTGTAAGTTTATTTTACTTGCATTTTCCATTTTTTTTCCCAACTTTGTTCTTTTCAACGATGCTTCCATCTGTTCATCGCTTCTCTATTATACTCTCCCGTTTTTATTACCATTTTCTAGCCCTTTTCGCGCTACAATCCCCATTCCTTTTATGTGTTTTGTCATGATTCTCTGCATCTTTTTCCTATCTGTGGCGATTCGCCACCCAGAATCGTATCATTTCATCTTTTTCCAAATGTACCCTATCTGATTTTTGGGCACTACGATTTTTCAATATGATTTTTTTTCTCAATATTTCTTCTATCGACTTTGCAAAAAGTGAGTTTAACAATCTTTATTTTCAAATTTTCCCAAAAACACTGAAATTCGAAAATTGAGAAAATTCTGATTTACAGAATTCCGAAAAGATACCGAAAAATCAAAATTTTCAGAGTGCCTGAAACTTCAAAAAATTGTTTCTACCTCCATCTTTCTGTATACAAGGTAATTCTTTGTATCTGTGTGTCCTAAAGTCTTTTTTTTTCACTTTCAGATCGAAAAACTGCCACAGGAAGACATCCCATCATTGGCTTCAACTTTTGCTGACAAATCCAAAGGGTCAATTATGGACGGAGAAAATCATCTTTAAGGGTTTTTCCAACTTGTACAATCTACAGTAACCAAGAATGACGAACTCTTCTTTTTTTAAAATAAATGATTGATTCATAAAATTTTTGAGTTTGAGAAAAACAAGAAAACGGATTTTTTGAAAAAAAAAAAAGTATGTTTAAAAACGTGGGCCAAAAAAATTGGTGACACAGATTGCATAATATCTTTCTTCCCAGACTATATTACCTAAAGTTCTGGTTACAAAAAAAAACTATGTCGAACCATGTTCTTTGATATATTTATACACTCGATGAGCTCAAAATAAACGTTACTTTTGCCTCGCCGGATAACCCCAGCGAAGCGGATCCAAAAATTAGATTTGTGTTCGACACATTCTTTCGAATGGTCGGAACTCCAGCGTACCTTGAGTAACTGGGTTAAAACCAAGGACAACGGCGAGACAACGCTTCTTATGTATTTTTATGTACCGACATCAATCGAGGCCCGCGTCGGCGACAAGAGAGTACGCGTTTGAATAGACGAAGGCATTGGGGAAGAGAGAAAGGAGACAGCGAGCGACAAAAGAGAAGAAAAGTGGTGGAATGGAAGAAAAGAGGAAGCAGGAGAAGGACAATTTGGATCGGGGGAAACTCGTAGGTTGTTGGTTCGACTCCGCGTGGGGCAAAATTTTTCGATTACGACTTTAACTGACGGGTCCGCTCTTGAAATTCAATTGACTTATAAAGAAAACAAACGTGATTTATATTTTTCGCTTTATAAATGTATAGTTGAGTTTTTTGTACACATAAGAGGATCAATTAAGTTTTCTAAAACTTTATATAAAATTTAGAATCGCATAGAAATGGTCTAAGTTTCACCTGGTTGATTTTCCAGATCATTGGTAGCTCAACTTCTCAAATTGGGTTTTCTAGGATTTTATGAAAAAATATGAGCTTACTTTCATAAGCATTTAATTTTCACAATCTATAGTATTTTCTCATTCTCTATATCCAAACAAAATGTTTAATTCAAAATTTCTGAATCTGGTACGCTTCTATTATGTCACAAAAACTCTTTCCAAAAATATTCGGGATGTTCTATTTGAAACAAAAACAGCAAAAAAATGTAAACCAATTTATTTAAATCCAAATTTTGCAATGATCTTCAAATGAGTGATTTTCGTTTCGTCTACTCCCTCCATTGATCTCTTCCAACACTTTCATCGGATTTTCTTCTCAACTCTTGCTATGTCCTCCTCCGCCTTTAACAGTTCCTGTCGGTCGAGAATCTAAAAATTAATAGTTGATTTTTGTGGTTTTTTAGAGGAAACTAACCTCAAAAACTGCATTTCCACAAAAGCTTAAGTGGTTCAGAAAAAACCAGACAGTAACTGATTCTAACAGTATTCTAAGGACAATGGTGATTTTTGAACATTTTGAATTTTTACTGTTCACACCTCTTTCAAATTGGACGCCTGATACTTATTTTCCCATTCTCCGATTTTGAAGCTCCTTGATCGTTTTCTCTCCATACCTCTTCAATCAGATCCTTGAAACTTTTGATCTTCTCTGCTTTGCAGTCCTTTTCTGAGAAAATTATGCAAATTTTCTATCGAACCTCCTAAGAGAATAGAGGGGATTGTCAGATTCATTAACTCACTTTTCAAAAAATATGAAATACCCATTGAATGGGTTTTTTGAAATAATCAGAAAAATCACAAAAATAAGGAAACATCCCAGAATCCATTCATTTGTAGGATTTTCTGGAAAGTTCCTAAGAATATTTAAACGTTCATTCTGTTAGATTGTAAGTTTTCGTATTCTCTCTCTCTCTCTCTCTCTCTCTCACACACACACTTTCAGCCTTCAAAGATTTATGTATGAAGGCCATCTTCGTCAGCATTGGTTAGCCCATGCATCCACCAGAGACCATGAATTCAAAACTTGGTGAGGTGTTATAGTTTGGTTTGCTGGAAAAATCAATTTTTCAGGTTTTCGAAGTAGAGAGCATTCCAGATAGGCTACATTAGACCTACGACCGATATATTTTTTTGTTCTCCCTGTAACTTTCTTAATAATAAACCTTGAACATGATTCGTTTTTTTTTGTTTTTCTAGTTTTCTATAGGGTTTCCTCAATCGTTTATCTACAATTTTTCAAAAAATCAGAAAATCAGCGAATTGTTTGAAAATCAGCGAAAACAACGTCAATAAATTAAATTCAAATTCCCGAATTTCTGAAATTCTGAACTTCTGATTTTCTGACTTTCTGAATTTATGAATTTCTGGAATTTCTTAATTTCTGAATTTCTTGAAGTTCTGAAGTTCTGAATTTCTGATTTTCTGATTTTCTGAAATTGATGTGCTGGTTTTTTGAAAACTGATATTCAATTCTTTTTGGTTTTACACTTTCAAAATGTATAAAAACTGACATTGAGCAGAACTAATCCTAATTTTCGAAAATTTTTAGCTGTCAAAAAGAAAGAGGACTGAGCAAACGATGCTCCTGATGGTCCAACCAACTCAAATCTGAGAAAACAACAAATCTGAAAAAGGCGAGAACAGTAAAAATGTGCTGTTTGTTTTAAATAACTATTGTCATTAGAACCTCGTCGAAATCCGTCACATCCCGACTTTTGAAAATCGCTTGAGCTCTTTGCGGATAAGGTTATTAGGAATGAAAGAGTGGGAGAAAATGAGAGACTCAGAGGAGGTGAGAGAGTGGACGCAGACAGTTAGAGAAACAAGAGAAAATTGAAGCAGACAGTTAGAACCATAAGAGAGATTTGAAGCAGACAGTTAGAGAAATTTCAAACAAGACAGTGGACGCAGAAAGTTCGAAAAATGACAAAGAATGGACGCAGACGACAGTTAGACAAACATGAGAAAATTGAAGCAGACAGTTAGAACCACAAGAGTGATTTAAAGCAGACAGTTAGAAAAATTTCAAACGAGAAAGTTCAGAAAACGACGGAGATTGGACGCAGACAGTTGGACGTCAAAATTATGGACCAAAAGTTTAGGTTCACGGATCTTCAAACTCACCAAGTTTTTCAAAACACCGGGGAATCCTTTCTTATAATTTTTTCAATAGTTGATTTCAGAAAAATTTGTAAGCAAATCATGAATAACTTATTTAAAAATAATCTTTTTATTTAAAAAGAAGCGATAATATGAAAAAAATATTGTTTCGAGCATCGTTCGAGATTACACATAGATTTATAATCCAAGAAATGAACAACATGTAGACGGCAGTCCTTATTTAACTGGTCCCATTTCTCGAATCCACCAATGAGGCCGCCTCAGTTTCCAATTCTAGAATAACAGAGAGATGAACTTCATTAGGACATAGAAAATAACTCATCTTTTGTTTTAGAATAGCAGATAGGTAAAAATAATACGAAAGAAAAAAATCTTACCTTGATGAGTCTGGGAGGAGCCATCACGCAACTGATGAGGCTTAGTTGTTTAAGTTGCTGCTGTGTCCGATTCTAAAATGTCAGAAAGGTGAACTTCATTAAAAAATGAATAAAGAAACTAACCTGTCTGAGTGATGGCGTCCACTGTTTCATGACGAGCAGATTACGGTAGCTGTGGCAATGTTGGAAAAAGCATTAAACTTTTAAAAAATTTTCAGAACCCACTGATTCATATAATTACTTGGAAGTTTTCAAGAATAAGAAGAAAAATTAGAAAAATAAGGGAACTTTCCAGAATCCATTTGTTTCAAAGATTTTCTGGAAAGTTCCAAAGAATATTTAGACATCCATTCTGTTAGGTCGTCATAGGAAAGACTGAGAAACGATTGTATGAAAAAAATATTGGCTTTGTCTCGATCTTTACATTTCTCTGCGTTTGTTCTTCTACTAAACAAACAAAACAAATTTTGTGTGTGTCATCATATGAGACACTGTCATATTATTCTTGGTATTTTGAGCATTTTTTGTGCTGAAAACTTTGATTTTTGGTCTGATTGGAAAAAATACTGAAAATCTGTTGTTGTGAAAAATGTTAACATCAGTGTGAAAAAGAAAATGCCAGGTTCAGAACCAGGAACAAAAACAACACTAGAAAATGTTTGTCTGAGTTTGCATATCCTGCACAAGATAAGTTTTAGTCCAAAAAATGCGAAAAATGAGGCTTCACCATGGAGTACAAGACAACTACAATTCGCTAAAAATCGACCGTCTCTAAAGCTTATTAAATTTTCTCCTGATGTGGTATGTTTGATGGGTAGTATTCTAGCAAAGTTTCGAAATTTTGTTTTTATTGCCTCCAAGTATTTTTCGAAGTATCAAGAAATCGGTGATAATTGCCGCCAAGTCCATTTTCAGTGAAACACTGAGCGTTTCAAAAATGCTAATCTAAACATTTTCCCCACGCAGAGTCGAACCAACAACCTACTCGTCTTCCCCAATCCAAATTACCCCTCTATTGCTTCCTCTTTTCTTCCATTCTACCATTCTTCTCTTTTCTTTTGTCGCCTGCTGCCTCTTTTCTCTCTTCCCGGATGCCTGCGTCTATTCAAACGCGTACTCTCTAGTAGCCGGCGCGGACCTCAATTGATGTCGGTACATAAGAATACAAAAGAAGCGTTGTCTCGCCGTTGTCATCGGTTTTAACCCAGTTACTCAAGGTACGCTGGAGTTCCGACCATTCGAAAGAATGTGTCGAACACAAATCTAATTTTTGGGTCCGCTTCGCTGGGGCTATCCGGCGAGGCAAAGGTAACGTTCTTCTTGAGCAGATCAAGTGTACAAATATTTCGAAAAACAAGTTTGGACCTCATTTTTTTTGGGTAACCAGATTCTTTGATTTCCCATGAATTGCTCAACTTGGAATAATGAAGTCTAGAAAGATGGATATAGTGTTGCAGTCTGTCCGACATCCGTTAAAATATCGAAAATATAAAATTTCGAAATTCTGGCCCACAATTTCGCTTCACCTGTTTTCAAAAACACTACGGTTTTCAAAAAATAGGAAAGGCTTTTTTCCATTTTTTTTTCCAATTGTTAAATTCAGAAAACTTGAACAAATCATAAATAATTTATTTAGAGAGAACCGTTCAAAAGGCAAAACGCCAAAATTATGTCACGTCCTCCGTTGAAGCAGGCTCTTGATTGAATGTCTGGTGGATGACAATTTCCATTTCTATAAGTACAAGAAGATGAAAATAATACGAAAATAGAAAAATAAATCTTAGGTTGGTATCTTTTAGCGGAACAATCTTGCAATAGACAAGTTGTTTGTGTGAAGTGGTCAATCGTTTCAGAATCTTCAATGCAAGGAGAATAAAACCATTATAAAAATAGAAAAAATTCGACCTGACTAAATTTTTTGGTACAAAACATGATTTTTATGCAGAAAAGACAGTTTTTTGGACCGAAAAACTCACCGGAAGATCTCCGTTTTCATTAATGAAGGTGGCTCGGTGGCTGCCCCGCCATTCCATACTGCCCCATAGCTTGGATGATGCTTTCCGTGAAGTCACTGAAAATTTCCGACTTTCTATGAATTTTGAAATTCTTGGATATTTTTCTGGTCGAAAATTCTCAAAGAATTCGCTTTTTTAGCCGAAATTACCCTGAAACTCACCGCACTTCCTCGTTTCTCATGAAGACGACCTCCCAATTATCCATTTTCGCGGAAATGAAGAACTTTTCATGGATCTTGAAATCCGTGGAAACCTTTGAGTCGAACGCCACCGGATTTGGATCCGTCGGAAACTTGATAGTCGGCCTGTTGAGGACGATTCCTTTGAATGTGGTTGGCTTAATTTTCAGTTTTTCAAATTTTTATGTTTTGAACTCACGGCTGTTGTCTTAGGCTTGGATGACAGAAAGGACTGGGAGCACAGCAATGTTGAAAAGATTTATCCATCTTTTCTTAAAATTACTTCTTTAAAATTTATACTTTTCGGGACCAAAAAGCGGATCGATTTCAAGTGTTGAATTTTTTTGAAGATTTTTTCCTTTATTTTTCAATCGAACGGGTGTGAGAGTGGGTTGTCATTCAGGGATGTTCGGAACTGAATTCCGAATTTCGATAATTCCGACAATTCTGACCATTTTCGGAATGAAATCCGCTCGGAATATTTCCGAAGCTTTTTTTCGGAATTAGAGATTTTTGAAGTACTGTATGTCGCAATAAAATTACTTACGGACGGAATTGCTTCCAATTTCTCGTGTTTTCATAAACTTTTTTGTTCATTTTTAAACTGTTTTCGGTGATTTTGTAAACTATTTTTGGCAATTTTGTGGTGAAAAATTAAAGTTTCTACTGAAAAATTAGCCTCTGCAACGTTTCGAAAGTACGGCAATTAATGCTTTGAAAGTTTCAAATATACAAACACTCTGCTCGAAAAACCATTTTTAAATGTTTAAAAACACTCATATACAAGTTTTTCTTTTTCTTCCAAGCAAAAAAGCGCAAATTTGTAACTTTCGATACGTCGTACTTGCGAAACGTCGCACTATCAAAACGTCTGCTCTCAAAACGTCGCGGAGCCAAAAATTAATATATTGAAAAATTCCAGAAATTCCGAAATTGCAAAAATTTCAAAATCGGAATGTTTTGAAACTCCGAAAATTCGAAATATTGAAAATCGGAAAATTCCGACATTCCGAAAAGTTCCGAGTAGGTCATTCCTAACACCCTTGGTTGTCATATTTATCAACTCACCTTTCGAAGAACCAAAAGAAATCAGGAAAACAGAAGTTAACAACCTCCAAAGTCTATAGAATAGAACTTGGAAGTTTTTAGGAATAATTAGAAAAATCAGAAAAATAAGGGGAACTTTTTAGAGTCCATTCATTTATAAGGTTTTCTAAAAAGTTTCCGAAAATATTTAGACGTCCATTCTGTCAGGTCGTCGAAACAAGAACTGAGCTAGGTGTGTATAAGGGCGACTTCCGAGTCTCTAACATTCTTGTGCTCCCTCTCCGACGTTCCACTGTGGCTGTACGCAAATTGGTATATACGGGCACGCAATGGCCCCACCTTTAGCAGGTGTCCTCGAAAGAGAGGAGGAGACACATAGAGACAGTGTAAAGTTTTGAAAACAACTTTTTTACTTTCCAAAGTTGTAAGATACTTGTTTTGTTTTTGATTTCCGCAAGATGAGAGCTTCAAACTAAGTCTAAACTTGCTTAGGTTTGGTAAAAAATTGGAACTGACTTCGAAGGCGTCCAAAACATTTCACAGAAGCTCGGCTCTCTTTCGATGTGTTTGTCAGAAGTTTGAGGTACCATCAGATTTAAGTCATATGAAAGATATATCTGAAAAACTGAAAAAACACGGTCTTCTAGATAGTTACAAATTTATCATTAAAAAATAATAAAATATAAATTGTTTTTGGTCTTCTTGAACTTCTTGGCTTTCCTGCTGGTGTGTTTTAACCAGTCCTCGACTTGTTTTGGAGTCTTTCGGAGTCATTCCAATTGCCTGGCTCAGGGCACTCGGCTCTCGAGCATTTGGCAATGGCTTGACGGCGAAGCGAGCTTGGAGAACTGAATATTGAAACTCGGTGCAATGAGTGCCTTGTGCTCTTCGGGAACTTGCTGCGGCTCTGGCTTTGCAGCTTTCGACGATAGCCAAAGCATCCTTTTTTGTGATTCCACTGTGTCGAGGAGTCGCCATTTTTTTGGATGAGAACAAAGCTGAAATTTGAAAGTAGCTTTGTAAAAGAGCCAGAATTGAAGCTTGAAAAAGAAGGAAGAGCTCATATTTAGTGTTTCGGCTAATTGTTTGCTCATTCTGGCCATTTTTAGGAGTCTGCAGGGCTTTTTGAGCGTTTTTAAAAAGTTTGGAGGGTGTAAAACAGACTTAAATTGTAATCTTGTGATTTTTGGATCACTGTGAGTCGGAAACCCAGTGTTGGGGCTATTTTCAGCCATTTCTCAAGTCAATAAATGTAATTTTTAGAGCATTTGAAACCTAGAATCCCGGATTTCGGCATGGAGTTTCAGAGCCAGAAATATGATTTTCCGACATTTTTAGGTCGAAAATGTGGTTTTCAAGCCATTTTAAGCCGAAAATTTCAAAATCTAAAATTTCAAAATAAAATCTGTTTTGAAGTATTTTAAGCTGCAAATAGTTCAGATTTCAAAAATTTTGGCTTTAAAAGACCTGAATGTCACATTTTTCGACATAAAATTTGCTGAATTTTTGGAATTGCTTCTAACTTTTTTCGTTTTCAGAAACTTTTTGTTTATTTTTCAACTATTTTTGGCGATTTTGTGGTGGAAAATATAATTTCTACTTAAAAATTAGTATGTTGAAAAAATCCGGAAATCACGAAATTGCAAAAATTTCAAAATCAGAATGATTTCAAATTCCGAAAATTTTAAGTTTTGAAAAGCGGGAAATCCCGACATTCCGAAAAGTTCCGAAAAAGCCATTCCGAACACCGCTAGTTGTCATATTTATCAACTCACCTTTCGAAGAACCAAAACAAATCAGGAAAATAGAAGAAAAAAATCTCCAAAGTCTATAGAATAGAACTTAAAATTTTTTAGGAATAATTAGAAAAATCAGAAAAATAAGGGAAATTTCCAGAATCCATTCATTTAAAGGATTTTCTGGAAATTTCTCGAGAATGTTTTGACGTCCATGCAGCTAGGTCGTCTGAGGAAGCACTGAGGAAGGGCATATTGTCGTATTGTCTTGCGATTTCTCTCACTCTGCGCCTTTTCTCTTCAGAAGTTTGAGGTACCATCAGATTTAAGTCATATGAAAGATATATCTGAAAAACTGAAAAAACACGGTCTTCTAGATAGTTACAAATTTATCATTAAAAAATAATAAAATATAAATTGTTTTTGGTCTTCTTGAACTTCTTGGCTTTCCTGCTGGTGTGTTTTAACCAGTCCTCGACTTGTTTTGGAGTCTTTCGGAGTCATTCCAATTGCCTGGCTCAGGGCACTCGGCTCTCGAGCATTTGGCAATGGCTTGACGGCGAAGCGAGCTTGGAGAACTGAATATTGAAACTCGGTGCAATGAGTGCCTTGTGCTCTTCGGGAACTTGCTGCGGCTCTGGCTTTGCAGCTTTCGACGATAGCCAAAGCATCCTTTTTTGTGATTCCACTGTGTCGAGGAGTCGCCATTTTTTTGGATGAGAACAAAGCTGAAATTTGAAAGTAGCTTTGTAACAGAGCCAGAATTGAAGCTTGAAAAAGGAGGAAGAGCTCATATTTAGTGTTTCGGCTAATTGTTTGCTCATTCTGGCCATTTTTAGCAGTCTGCAGGGCTTTTTGAGCGTTTTTAAAAAGTTTGGAGGGTGTAAAACAGACTTAAATTGTAATCTTGTGATTTTTGGATCACTGTGAGTCGGAAACCCAGTGTTGGGGCTATTTTCAGCCATTTCTCAAGTCAATAAATGTAATTTTTAGAGCATTTGAAACCTAGAATCCCGGATTTCGGAATGGAGTTTCAGAGCCAGAAATATGATTTTCCGACATTTTTAGGTCGAGTTGAAAAACTGTATATTCATAATGACTTACATGTTGTTCACAGGCGATCTTCGGAGTTTTTCCCTCTGCCTATGTCGATCTTAGAGATTCAGCTGACTGACGCCCGTCGCTGTGCAATCCAATCCGAAATCTGCAATAATCAATAAATGGAGTGCAATCTCTTTTCTTTCTTGTATGTCTTTTTTCTTCAGAGGACAAATGTGTCAGACCTAATTTGATATGGCATTATTTGCTTTGGGTCCAACAGATCTGAATCGCAATTTGGAATCTGTTTATCTAAACTTCAGATTATAAAATCAGCCTTCAAATAGGTTTCAAAAAAAATGAGGAGCGATTGATTTTTATTGAAAATATAAAACAATTCCAAAATCAAACTCCAGTCCCACACAAATAAAAATACATTTTCAATAAAAATAAGATTTCTAGAAGCCGACAAAAAGCTAAGAAATTTCCAGTCGTTCAGGAAATTCCAGAAAATATTACCGTATTTCCTCTAATAGAAGCCATTAACTTCGAGCTCAATCATCTCGATTCCTGGAAAAGGTATCAGTATACTTGTAACGGGCCGGGCTTTTTCCCGAATTTCGGAGATCCAGCCCCGGCCCGGCCCGGCGGGCCTGTCATTCCACAAGTTTTGAAAATTTCAAAAAACAAATAACGGGGGACCCTTATGTGATTTTTTTCGATCAAAATTTTTTTTTCGAGTTTTGTTGATATTTTTTGATCAAACAGACAAACAATCCAAAAACACAAAAAAAAATAATGGAGAAAATTGTATTGAGAGCTCAAAATTTGGCACAAAATGACAAAATTTTTGCTACCGGGCTTTCCGGGCCGGTCCCGGGCCTTGAAAATTTCCTCAGGCCCGGGCGTTGGCCGGCCGGCTACGAATTTTACAAGTATGGGTATCAGGAAGTAGTCAACTATCGAAATATTGTTGATATTATGATGAATAATTCATTAGTTGATGACTTTTTGATATCTTTTGATAACATTTTGTAGTACTAGTCGAGTTCTATCATATCTATTAAAGTCGGTCCAAAAATATTGACTCTACAAGAAACAATGGCAAGACTCGCGAAGGCCCGGAAAAGGCCCGTATTACAAGTATGCTATAGACTATTTTTTAATACCTTGAGTTGCCTATTTTTCACTGAGAGTGTTTGAATGAAAAATCGGAGAAGGATGAGACGCAACTAGCTATTAAAGTCTCAAGCGGAGATAATAGGGGGATTGTGTGACGGATAGAACCAATTAGAATTCCAAACGGAACACCTTCGAAATGATGAAAATGAAATTTGAGTAAACGAAAAGAGAATATCGAAATATGAAATTGTTGGGAATGGGATTTAAAAGCGGGAACCGTTCATCATGCCTCGAGGAGAATCCAATTTGATGGATGATAATTAAGATGGGATTTAAGAACCACAAAAGTAGATTAAAGTATAAAAATGGGCGGAGTTGGAACTCTAGCACCGAGTTGTAGGTAAATCCGTGCCAAGCTGTGCTACTCCGTGCCTGTTACAGGAGCAACTAGAGTGCACGATTGAAAAGAGGTTACAGAGAAATGCTAGGCGTATATAAGGTGGTTAGCAGCACACTAAATTCATTCTTCCGTGGCTCCGTGTGTAGGGGCCTGAAAGTTTCCATATTATTTTTCTGAATATTGCTATTCTGATGATTTAGCTTACAAGTGGTAAAGAGGTAAGTGATAAACTTTCGTATAGGATTGATGATTTGTGTTTCAGAATGCTGGCTAGTTTTCTTAAAGAGGGTTGGAGTAATTGGCCAAGCAATTGATGGCAGAACTTCTATCAACCTGGTTTGTGAGGTCCATATATTAGGGTGTTACATAAGTTTCTTCCGATTTAGGGATGATTTTTGATCAAATTTTTCTCAAAGCAGAGGGGGCTAGATTGATAAAAGTAATGTTCATGAGCATCGATAGTTGTCTGGTAACGCTTTGGTAATTTCTTGATTTCATCGGCACAGAACGAGGAGGGCTGCGATTGAGAAAGTGGGTCAACCCTTTTTGGTGGCATCTTTTCAATTGAAGTCTTTGCTATCAAGATGACGTTTGAGAACCCCAAACGACCATATGTCCGAAAGAACAATGTTTGGAGAATACGACAGGTGTAAAACATAGTTGCAAAATCTCGGGCCGGCCCGCGGGTTGGCCCGTCGAGAATTTTGGCGGGCCGGGGTCTGTACAGACGCTGATTTTTTTTGAATTTTTTTTTTCGAAATTTTTCAAATTTTTCAAAAATATATAGAAAAGCGACATATTTCTGACTACTTTCTACTTTGTTAATTTTGTTAAAAAATGTAACCTTTTTTCTTTTTTTTTTTCAAAAAAAAAATTATTCAATTTTTCATTGGAAATTTTTCAACAGTGGTAGGCAGGCCGGCCCGGCCCGGCCTTTTGCAACTATGATGCAAAAAATAGCTCAGCCGAACGACATGAACTTTTGCTTGATCGCTCAAGTAACGTGCGATTTCGCGTTTTCGTACTGGGAACACCGTTGGCCTTTTCTCCTTGTTTAGACTCGACTGCCAGAATCAATGTATCTTTTTATAAACTATACAAGGCGACAGTTATATTGGTACTTTCACCTAAACGTTCCCTATCTCTATTCCTTTGACAGGCCATCAAACACGTAGCATACCTATTCTCATAGGAAATTGAGGTTCCGGGACGCTCAGAGCTAGCTGTTCTTTGGCAATCAACTGACATTTCCGCACAATGTTAGAGTAACTTACACACTTCTCATCCACAGTAATTAGATCATTCACCCAACTAAACGTGTCAAGAAATGATAGGAAAAACATGCCTAAATCTACACGGCGATCCATAGCATAGTCATTCAAAAAATTGGAAACGAATCGACCCAGTTTTTGAAGTTGCCAAGAGTCTTCAATCCGCTCACGGGTCGATGCCTTTGACATTTCACGATTGGTTTGAAACGGATCGGCTTCAACTCTGCTCTTCAATAGGGAAACGTTCAACTTTCGGACCTATCTTCGTCTTCCGATTCTAAATTTTTGGCTTCGAATCGATCGGTCCAATGCTTGATGGTGAGGACAGTTAGAGACGGGCCTTCATCTATTTCTCTCATTTTCTTGTGAATCTCATGATTTTTAAAACCAGAATGGAATAAAAATAAAATGACATTTTGAAAGTGTAGATGGTGAGGGATGGAAGCAAGCGCCATGCTCGCGAACAACAAGAAGTACGAATGAGGCAAAGTATGTAAAGCAAGTCCGTGAGATTCTATATCCAACAAAAAAACACATGTCAAGAAAAACCTTCCCACTGACAAGATATGAATTCTCAAAGTTGAGCATTCAAAATCGGAAGAAACTTATGGATCAACCTAATATTTGAAACTTCACTAATTTAAGACACTGAGGAAACATTTTAAAGGAGTAACCTTATTTTCGTTTGCCCGATGATCACCGGATGGCTCCTGTGTGGCGATTGGAATCAGAAAGTGATTGTCTTCTCTAGCCATCCCAAGATGAGAGCTGTATTTTTAACAATTCAAGTTTGAAACATTTTCATTTAGAAACTAGGAAAATCAAAACAATAATGAATGGAACTGGATTTGGCTTGGGATTCTTCAAGAAAACTATCTACTTGGTTTTTAATGTCAGTATATATGTTAATTTTACTATTTTTAGACATTGCTGACACATATGAGTGCCGCTGAGCATGTTGATTCAGACTTAAAATTTCCAAAAAGCTAAGGGTTTCTACGATCCTAAATTTACGACCAACACGGTTCTACGCAAAATATATTATTATTCAGCATTCGAGTTTTAGACCCTAACAACAACTGTAAGACTCTAACCACGAGTCTTGAGATCTGGTTTGCATAACCTTATTTAAAATGCGGTTTCGAGTTTCTGGACTGTCCTCTACTCCCAAATATTTCAGCACCAGTATCCATCTAATTCAATTGGACAGCATTGCAAACATCGACCCAGCATACATCCCTCCACTACGCCAACAACATGAGGAAGCTATGATGGAGAATCTCGAACGTGCCGAGATGGGTTTCGGATGGGCCGCACGTCGGAAAGTGTATATCGTCCCTGCACAACAAAAAGGAGATGTCAAGGAAATCCTAAGAAATGTTCCGGAAGTTCAAGCAAGAGTTCTTGGGGAAGAAATCACTAGTGGTGAAATCACAAAGCAATGAAGGGTGAGTGGGATAAATTCTGAGAAAAAAATTTGCCCTGAAAAGTTCAAATTTGGTATCTAGCCCAGTTTGGACGCGTGGCGCGTGCTAGCTGAATAGCGATTCAGCAACTTTTCTTCTGTAAAAATATGACCCTTAATGTCGCAACTGGAGCTAAAACCTACAGTACGTTCAATAATTATGGGACCCCCCAGAAAAACGAAAAATCACAAGTTTTTTCGAGACCAAAATTGGACCTTTTTTAGTTGAAAATCATTAAAATAGTCTCAAAACTACCTAATTTGATAGTTCACACAAATATTCATTCCTCTATTCAAGTTTTTAAAAAAATTATTTTCAGTCATTTTTGCCATTTTTCAGATTTTTGAAATAAATCTTGAATAACTTGGCTCATGTGTAAGATTTTTAGCTGAAATTGATGGCGATACTTTTACAAGGATCTGGAGTATTTACTTATTGTTGTCATACTACTACAAGCCGTTGTTTGTGATTTAAGCTGAACTGAAATTTCAAAAATTGACCCTGAAATTCGGTGATTCTGGTTTTTGTCAAAAGCTCAAATATCATTTTTACATACAAAATAATAACTTCGAAGGCGATTGTGGACGCTTAGAACATCTTTCAAAAATTTTAGACAAGTTTGGAATATTTTCAATTGGGCATGTTTTTTTCAGTTCAAAACTGGAGCTCAATTTTGAGCAAGCCAATGCTCGAAAATGCCTTCATTACTCGGAACATGATCATGATCATTCCTGAGATATTTCCTATCGATTTCAGCTCAAAATCTCACACAAGAGCCAAGTTATTCAAGATTTATTCCAAAGACTCAAAAAAATGGCAAAAATGCTTAAAAATAATTTTTTCTAAAACTTGAATAGAGGAATCAATTGTTGTGTAAACTATCGAAATAGGCAGTTTTGAGACTATTTTAATGATTTCTAACAAAAAAAAATGTCCAATTCTGATCTAGAAAAAAATTGTGGTTTTTCGTTTTTCTGGGGGGTCCTATAATTATTGAAAGCCTGCGGGAGGGCCTTTTTGTTGGTACGGAAGAGTAAAAAGAAGTAGGAAAATGAAAATTTGTAACTGGGGGTTATTTTGTATTCTGAATCGAATGGCGTTTACAGAATCTTGATATCATTTCCAGTTTTTTCAAAACCCCTCAAAATCGAGGGTGGTCCTATAATTATTGAACGCACTGTATATATTTCTAGATTGATGTGTAACAGATGGATACTGTGTCTAATCGACTAGTTTTCAGTGGATGTTAAAAAAACTTCTCGCGACAAATCAGTTTCAAACTCGATAAAGCAGTTCTAAATATTTAAAATTGAATGAAAACTGAGTACTATAAACTTATACGAAAAGACAGTCTTTGTAAGCATCCTTCAGGCAAGAACTGGCTGAGCTACGCGTTTAAAGATAGATAAAATCTGTCACAAAATGCTTTCAACTACGTTCATTTCGAAAACCCTAACCGTTTCCTACGCAGGCTTCTAGAAATTCCAAAAACCTCGAGACCTTCGAATTTTGCTTTATTTTAATTACCCAAATTTTAGATGCTAATCAACTCTCGACCAATATACAATTCAAAACGTAGCGAGATTCGAGCCATTTTTTCTCAAAAAGTTAATTTTAGAATCTCTTCAACTACATCCGATCATGGTTCACTTGCCTTGAAGTCTAATGATCGCCAACCAGACGAAAAAAAGGAGAAATTTCAACTTTCATACTGTTTCATAGTGAATAAATATTCTAAAAATTGCACTAGAAGAGTTTGTACACACTCAACTTCGCTCTTTGCTTCAGATATGTTTTGATTCGAAATGTGTCTTACTTTGAGAAACCTGCAACTTTCGATCATGCATATAATTTCAATCATGCTTCTGTCACTTCTTCTGCCATAAAAAGGGGATGACAAGGAAGCTCTAAGAAATATTCCGAAAGTTCAAACAAGAGCTCTTGGAGAAGAAAACCCGACTGGTGAAATCTCAAAGGTAGAAAGGGTGAGTGAGACAATGAGTGAGACATGTCCGCGAGGCGCTTGCCAGCTGAGTAGCGATTCAGCAACGTTTATTCGGTGAAAATATGACCATTGATGTCGCAAATGGTGCTAAAACCTATATATTTCTAGATTATTGTGTAACAGATGGATACTGTAGCTGATCAACTAGTTTCTAATGAATGTTTAGAAAGCACTTCTCGCGAGAAATAACTTGTAAATTCGATAAGGCAATTCCAAACATCATACGTAAATTTCTCGAAATTCGACAAACTTTGAGAGGTCTCAAATATCCTTCATTTTGATTTCTCAGGTTTTTTATCTTAATGAAAGCTATCGACCAATCTGCATTACAAAAAGTAACAAGATTCAAGCTGATTTTTATCTCAAAACTTCAATTTCAGAACATCTTCAACACAGCAGCTCATGGTTTGCTCGAATTAAAATTTGGTGAGACGGAAAAGGAAGATTTCATTTTTTACTTTTTCATAATAAATTATAACTATTAAAAATTGCACTAGAAGAGTCTGTACACAGTCAATTCTGCCTTTTGCTCCAGAAGTGTTGTGAATTGAAAGGTCGCTTACCTCGAGATTGGGTTTTTGAGCTTGGAGATTCCTTGAACACAAGCATCTTCTTATGCAACATGGAATCGTTCTCTTCCAACGAATTTCGCACTTGTCAATCTTCCTGCCCATCGATACCACTAACTTGTTCTCGTATTTTTGCATTCAAAATGTTCTGCAAGGATTGTGACTATTTTAAAAATTCTCATATTTCTAGTCCGTAAAACTTACTGTAGCACTGATGCGGAGGATCTCTTTGAACATGACACTGCGAGTTTTCATCTCACATTCAGCACAAAAAAATCTTTGGGAGTTTCTAGTTTCTTGATGATTCTTCTCGGTTTATGCCGCATCTGAGTGCGGAGAAGAAACTTTGGGAATAGTTTACGATGAAGTACCAACCTGAAATATTTCAAAATTAGACAAAATTCATATAAATGATTCAACTCACTCATCATTCGTTCGCTTGTCTTCCAATGCTGCGTCAAGAATTGCTTTTCAATTAGACCAGAAAATCCTTCGTAGTTGATGTTAATGCTCGATTTCTTCTTTGCGCTTTCGTATGCTCATAGAGTCCATCTCGGGCTCGCGGCTCGTTTCAGGTTGGTTAGCATCGATATGAGATTCCTGCCTTTTTTGTCGACGAATTTTGTTCCCTTGGTTTGAATTTCTAGCTTCGTCGAAGAACATGGAGGTTCTGCTCCCTGAAATGTTGATCAGGATGAATGGAGTTAACTTTTGCAAAACATCATTTTCTTACCTCTGAACATTGCCATCTTTGGGTCGAAGCAGGTGATCAGTAGTCAAAGTCACTTGAACACTATTCGGTTGAATTAAGGTAAATGCCGTCTTTTGGGCGAACATGGGCGCCTTTTGGCAAAGTTAGAGCGCTGCCACCTTTTGAGCCAGCTTCGGTGCGTTTTGGGTTAAAAAAATTTTAGGCGAACCCAAGACGAACCCAGCCAGCTTTTCACTTTAGACATCTTCTGGATAGACATCTTCTGGAAAAATCCCTAGCGGAATCTGCCTAACCAGCGCCCAAAAGACGACAGTCGCAGCCGACTATTCATCATGTTCGAACTTTTTCAATTGGTGATCGCCTGTCGGTTATCATCTTTTCTACTTCCGTGTGGCTCTGTTGCTGTACTCGTGGTTGAACATCTCTGGGAGCTTCTTGCGATTTTTGATCAAGACTCAAATAAGTTCATCTTCCTCTTCCTGATGATTTTTCTAGATTTGAGCCATTTCGCGTTGGTGGCGGGCAAACAGCTGAGTTCAGAAAAAAAAGAGAAACGAAAGGTTAAAATTTTCTGAAATGTTGCGAAATTAGAAAAAAAATTGCTATGAATAATTCAACTCACTTATTCTTCATTTACTTGTCTTCCAAATTGCAGATGTTATTTTCTTTGGCGTCGTTATTGTATTCGGATGATTGATAGTAATTGGCAGATTCGAAGCCAGCAGACGTTCCATGGCGCTTCATGGGGAGTTAAAATGCGAAGAGATTCGAAGCCAGCAGACGTTCCATGGCGCTTCATGGGGAGTTAAAAAATAAGCAGCTCATGGAGAAGGTTCTGAAACATTGATAATTCGGTTTTATGACAATATTGAACTTGTTTATTTATTAGAGTTGGTGAAACAATTGTTTTCTTTCCGTTTTTTTCAATTGAGAAATGTTTTGGTTTGAAATTGATTTTTCCTTTCAAAAATTGAAAAAACTCACGGAAAACTTGCAGCGACATCATCATTAGCATGAAAAACAAGGAACAAGTGGTAAGATTTTTCATTTGAAGCAATCTGAAACGATAAAAGCTTAGTTTTATAAGGAAATCGAGTTTAATGAATGAAAATTAGGCTATTTGACTACGCGAACAAAAGCTGCACCATGCACGTCAAATGCGTCAATCGTCAAACGCGTCAATGGTGTTTTTCCACTGCAAACGCACGACTGGGGTTTTGTTAAATGAAGAAAGGTCCGTTGTTGTGTTGGGAGAGTGACCCCTCTGCACGCGACCATACAACGTCGATCAATAAACCAGATGGACCTTCATTGTGTTGAAGATGGCAACCGACAAGGGAAGATGTGCGCGCGCATCGAGAGAGAGAGAGAAAGGGCCAAGATGACGGAAAGAGATTAGAGGGTCCACTGGAGGCAGTGTACGTGTACAGGGAATGCTGGCAAGAAATCTCGTATTATAGATAATTATTGCGGAGTCGCGCAGTGTGCTGCTTTTGGTGTAAATTCGTTTCGTTTAAAAAAACACAGCGGGAAAGCTGATTTGAATATTTCTGCTTTGCGCAGTTTGTTTAATAGAGCGCATTTGCTTGGAACCGCAAATTTGGCGACTCTCGGAAAGACCCACTTGGAATATTTGATAAGAACCTATAGAAAATGAAGTTTCCATGACATTTACGGCAGAAAAAAACAAAATGAAAAAGCATATATTTTTATTAAAAACTAGTTACTATTGTCTTCTATCAAAATTTCTTACAAAAAAAAACGAACGGGAAATCGGGAAAAAAAGTTGAGCTGTAAAGCTTAATTCAAAAATGGAGAAAATTCAAGCAATGAAAGAAACTACGTAGAAAACTGCAAACCAGAATCAAATCATTGTCGCGTGAACATAAATGAGGTGCAGCTGCTGTCGGTCCCTAAAAAACAGAATATTGTATTTGTAGCAGAAAGAAATAGTCACATTATGATTCCGTAGAGTTTGAATGGTCTATTGTTGATTCCGACGTTATTCTGCTCCATCAGACCTCTTTTTCACTTTTTTCAATGATGTGAATGGCTAATTAAACTATGATCTGAAGATGAATTTTATGAAAGAAATTTGAAATTTGGCAAAAATTAGTGAAAGCTTGAGTGTCTACCACTGCTTTTATGTAAAAAATTGAGAAAGACAAAAAAGCAATAATAGATCTAGCACGAAGTCCTTGGAACTACTTCTTGAGGAATGAAAAGGGACTATGTTAAAAAACGAGCAGGATTAGCGAGGAGCCAAAAAAAGTGGAATGAAGTTTTCTGGACAAATGAGTTTCTACACACTAGAAAAACACACTGAGAGAATCAAAAAACCTTGGAAGAAATTTTAGGAAGATCCTGAAAGAAAGTTTCATTCTTGTTCTGGTATAATTAATTTAGGATCGTAACCATTCCAAAATTGATTAAAATTGTATTTACATACTGTTGACAATTTCAGGTATCAGACTACGAAAGAATGGTTTCTGCAGAAAAAAAAGAAACTCAATTTCCTCCTTCTGAGTCACTGGATAACAAAAGATATCCGAGTTGGTTATAAATTTGGTGCCGTATTGCTCTTAGCCAAAACGGAGAAAATCAAAAGGGAAAGTAAGACGTCTTCGGCCTGAAAGCTTTTTTATTGCGCCGTAGGTCATTTACCAAATTGAAGTGACTTGCCTTTAAATGGAAATGGAAGAGATGGACTAAAGAAGCGGACCAAATGGTGCGTGACATTTTTAAATCCATTCTTGGAATGGATCTTGAGAACAGTGGGTCACTTTGAGATAATGGACATTTCAAAAAGGAGCAGGATCGTAGAGTGAATAGAAAGTGAATAGAAAGTGAAATCTAGAAACAGCAGAGTTTCGGAGAAGCACTTATTGGGAGAAAGGCAAGGTGGAAATTGGCTGCGGAGGATACGGTAGCGAAAGCTTCAAGGGTATAAAATGGAGAAAATGCAATAACACTTCAGTTATTCTTCATTTTGGCTGGTTGTGTTTGTCCAGCCTTTATTCTATATGATTTTCTTGAGGTTTTATCATATTTTTCAACAAGCCTTTTCTGTGTTTTGTCGAGATTAAAGTTTTGTCCCGCAAATGTAAGTGCTACGATATTCCCATCAAGTGGTATTTGTTCCTTTTCCAGCAAGAAGGTTTAAATCAAGCAAAAGATAGTCACCCAAAAAAAAAGGAGTGATGAAGATGTGACCGCCGGGTGGTGAGTTCTCTATCAGACATCATTAGTTCATTAATTAACTGATAAGTTTGAAAGGATCTAATGGAAAAACAATCTGTTGCCAAGTAGGATGCGGAATGTTTAAAAAGATTGAAGACTGAAAACGTGTCCGCCAGGTTAGTTTACAACATTTTTTGCAAGTCACGTTTTCAAGTTAATACCTGGTTTCAATAGAAAAGGATAGTGTTTTTAATTTTGTCCTTCATTTAACTGGTGGAGAGGTCAGATTGAAAAAAAACTATCATAGAAGCCCACCCTATACGTACACTTTAAGCTAACTTATCTTGTAACTTTTGAAAGGCATCAAAAAGTTTTCTACTGACAAATTATATGTCATAATTTCACCAAATTTTTTACAGTTGACAGATTTTTGACATCTTTTCTTACCGAGATAATTGAACTCAAAGTTCACGTACAGGTGGGATTCTATTAGAGCAAATGCGGTAAAAACGAATCTATTGTACAAAAATCATGTATTCCAAAACCCGATGAAACGTTTTTGATTTTCAGGATATGATTTTGTTTCAATAACGCCTTTGGTCCACCTCTTTAATAATTTCTTTAAATTTTATTGTTTAATAAAATTGTTGTTATATTTGTTTTCTTTTACACTGTCCACATTAACCAAGGCAATTAGAAACCCGTCAAGAAGAGGTTTATCAAGTTTTAAGCATTTTTTTTGTTAAAATTTCCGCATTTCAACTTTATCGATTTTCTGTTAGCCTTTAGCATGGATATGAAGCGCTCGGTAGTCTGTGACTACAAACCCACCCCCAAGCCACACGTCGCTCTGACTCATTGAAGTTGAGGCCCGAGACAGACATACATACACACATACGCAGAAAGACAGATGACTCCCTCTTTAGTCTTCTCTGTTGATGACACCTGTCTCAGTGACAACATCTGCTCTTCATTTGGTTGAGACGTCTTCTGATTCAGTGCAAGATATTTATTGGTCCTTCTTGTTTGCCAACCCATGGACCAACGAGAAAACATTGGACGATGCTGAGGTATGCGACAGAAGATTTGTCTGTCTCTCACTGTGTCCTGACCCCCCGTTATCGCAGACGCAGTCTGTCGACCCAATTGCCACGTCATTGGTCTTCTTGCCTACCACTCAGACACACATACTCGTTCTCACTGTTTTAATTGTCTTTTGCACCAACTTTGTGATGCCTGTTGTGTCCAAAAACCGTCTGAATCTTCTAAAATTTCCATCGTCAGTTGTGGAAAACATTTTTCGACAATTGAATTTAATTTCGATGTAAGTTATTCTTATGATGTCGTTTTTATTTAAAAAAACATTATTTCAGTATTGATCTGACTTTTGTCTCAAAAAAGATGCTCGCCAAAATAAAAAAGATGAACTTTCAATTTGACTGCATTGATATCTGGTGTTACGGAGTAAAGCAGATTATCTATTTTCGAGACCATTACGATATAAGGCTGAGCATTTTTTGCGATGACCATCCTATTTTGGAAAAACTGAAGATTAAAGTGGGAAGATTGGCAATAAACGTGATGTGAGTTTCAAGAAACCGGAAATAAATCGAATAGACGGGCACCTAAACTTTTAATTTTGAGGCGATTTATCTCGGTTTTCTTGAGAAATACCAAGAAGATGTCAACTGATAAATTGTTTATCATGACATCACAAACATTTTGTCTGTTGACAACTTTTTGATATCTTTCACAGGAAATGAGATACAGCACCAGACAATGCGATATACAACAGCCCATTTTTCAGTTGATTTTGACCGTTTTTGAGAGTCTAGAGCTCTGCTGCTATGTTTCCAGTTATTTTGAAAATTTTGGAGGGTGTAAAACAGACCTAGATTGAGAACTTGACATTCGCAGAATTTTTTTAAAATGCCAAGTTTTCCAGCTATTCACCAATTTCTGTTAGACACCAGTTTTGTCATTTTTTTCAGTGTAAAAAAAAGCAAAAACGTGGTCTCTTTTAGAAATTGGAAATTAGCTGAAAAACTAGGAATTTTCAAAAAAGAATATTGAATGCAAATTTTTCAGTATAGGTCTGTTTTTCACCCTCCAAAGTTTTCAAAATGATCTGAAACTTAAATCGAAAGCAACTGAAAAACACGTTTTTGTATATCTTATTGACAGATACTGTATGTGGACAGTTACTTCTTGAATTAAATAAAAAAAACCTGATAATTCAGATTGGGGCCAATCTGCGAAACTTCTATTTCTCTTTTTATCTGCGTTTTTCTCAATAAAAAAATTTCAGAGGACGACACGAAATCGTGAATATGATGGAGATCTTAACGGATGATTTCTCAAACAATCTCCAACTCATTCTCGATCATTTTTGCAAAGTATTCAGTTTCCGGTTCGGAATAGCTTCAGTAGATTTGAAGCAGCGATCCAACAAATTCCGGGAGCTCATCAATCACCCAATATTCAATGATCGCTTGGTTTTGAAACTGTCTGGGCAACTGAAAAGTGGATATAACGATATGCAGATTCTGCTTCAAGAGAACTATAATAAACTTGAAGGTCTTGTTGTGAATTTCCATATCAGCAAGGAGCATTTCAAGTGGACAGACGTTAGTATAAAACTAATTTTAAAACCAAAAATTTCGAAAATTGCAGATATTTCAATACCAAAGAGTCTCCATCTTCGACGGCAAATGGATTACTGCTGAAATACTCGATTCGATGGACTTTCACAGACTGAAAATCACATGCCACCTGCTCACCGCTTCTGATGTCCGCTCTCTCATAAATAGCTGGCTAAATGGAAACCATCCAAACCTCCATCGTTTTGAACTTTCGAACTTCTATTCCAAAAGGATGCTTGCGTCAGAAGTTATTAAGGGACTGAATGTGACTAGTTTCAAACAAGGAGAAAGGGATAGTTACTATGTGTTAGTTTTTTTTTTCAATCATCTTTCCAATGCATTTGTTTTCAGATTGGATTATATTCTGAGCCCGTACAAAATCGATGCTCGAAGCGGTTATGATTTGAAGCGAAGTGATGGAACTATTGGGACAGTCTTGAGTACAGAGGACGCGTTCTACTTCGTGGTGTGGAATGATGGACCGTTCATTCAGGGGAACTATCCGACTAGAGCCTTCAACCCGACACTGAATGTGTGAAATTCATTTCGTGGTTTTCTTGTTTTTTTCTTTTTCTATTTTTCCAAATTTCATAGATGCTTAAATTATGAGACATCTGTCAAAAGTTTATTTCCCGTTTCACGTTGTCTGTCCTTTGTAAACTGCGTTTTTACAAACATTTCTTCCCTCAAAACTAGTTACAGTTTTCCCTCAAATTCTGAAGCCCACCCAAATTGCCATTTTTGATATCAAATATCTCGATTTCTGTAAAAGATATCAAAATTTTGTCAACTGATAAAATTTTGTTTATTTTATGATATACATTTTGTCAGTTGACACACTTTTTATATCTTTACCCGGAATCAAGATATTTGAGCTCAAAGTTAGCTGTTTGGATGGGCGGTAATTCTGTAGTACGGTAATTCGCGCAGATATTGATACTGTACATCGTCCTTCATAAACTTGATTCTGACAAAAAAAAGGAGAATTCGTTTATAACGTGATCCAAACATTAAGAATTTTAAGCTGAACATTTATGACATGTCTACTACATATGTATACTAATCCTCCTAATGCCAACAATTTTGAACCAAATTATCTTGATCCTTGTGAAAAATGGCAAAACGATCAACTGTCAGAGTATTTTAGAAATTATGACAAGAATTTTGGTAGTTGATGACTTTTTTATATCTTTCACTGGTATCGAGATGAGTTTAAAGTTGACTTTTTTGGTCCATTCTAATAGAGTGGTTACGGTATATCTCTGGTTACCTCCCAAAAAATATATCAAATCTATAAAGCAATCGTTTTTTTTTGAATATCCAAAAAGTTTTTGAATAGACCGCAGTAATAAACTTCTCAAAGGCGATAAAACAGTGCAACTTGGATGAGGATCAAAGGAGCTACGCGCCTCTCACACGATGACTCAAAAGGAACGGCCGTTTACGAGTGCGGTTTATTGAGTAATGAGGTTGGTACACAAATCAAGGTGGCCAAGTTTGTTTTAGCCATCATTTATCAGGTACATGAGGTTTTCCTAGCTTTGTCTTTTTTTTCTCTTTTTATTTTTTAATACACTGCGTCACATAATTATAAGTTCACTTTAAATTTTGAATTTTTCGAAAACTGTGAATATGGACTGAAGAAAACTGTGAATATGGACTGGATTGTCAATTAATGAAAACCATTAGAAATCGCTACCATTTCTTAAATTTGGCAAAATTGAAAAAATCGAAATAATGTCCTGAAAAACGTCACATAAGTATAAGTTCACTTGAAACAATGAAAGATAACTCAAAACACAGATTCTAAAATTTAGTGAAACTATAAAATATAGTGGAAAAGGATCATAATAATTTTGTTTATGGAAGAAATTTAGCTGTACCTATAATCATAATTGAGCCACATCCGTTTTCGGCCAGTTTACACTGGAAATGAACTTTTTCGTTGATAAATGTTCAGAAAACAGTGCTGACTCTAAATTTATGTTTTTCACAGATTCATTCCCAATTGTTTCACACAGTTAACTGTCAAAAAACATGAGGCTGATTTGAAAACCGAGAAAAATTTCTCATTTTAGCACAATTTCACAAGTATGTTCCGAGTGGTACTGTGTCTTCCTCGGCAGACATATGATTGAGCTGACTAGCATAAAAGGAAAGTGCACAAGTTTTCATTAAGGAGCATACATAAAACCATAAAAATCTAGATCTTGAGTCCACGGAATCAGCAACTTTTTGGACCATCTGACACTCAAGCATTAAAAATGGGCTATGAGGAGTCATGTTTACAGAGTTGTTTTGTGAGGAAGGAGTCACGCATTCTGATTTTTCTTCCTTTAATCACAATTTTCAAGTTTAGAATTTACCCATACAATAGTTAGATTACTTCACAGTTGCGTTCTAGACCAGGCCTGTGCGGCAACAAAATTTTTTCGGCAATTTGCCGAATACTTTTCGGCAACGTTCGGCAGCTCGGCAATTGCCAAAAAAATTTCGGCAATTTCGGCAACTTTCGGCAATTTTTGGCACAAAAGTTTTGCGTCTTTTTTTAGTAAAATCGATGCGTAACTCACATGAAAATGCTTCTATCAGGCTCAGAACTACAGAAAATGTGTTTCATAAGTTCCTTAAAAAAGTAATTACAAAAATTGGCAACTCAAGACCACATTTTTTATGCAAACTATTTCTCTTTAGCAATAAAGGGTATTCCAATGGTTGAAAATATTTGTTCCGATTGTGAGTTTTGAAAATAGTGCGCTCAACTTGTTAGGCAACTCACGACACACGTTCCCTAGAGATTTGAGACAGATTGGATAATTTTTTGGATGAGTTGTGACTCATTATATCTATTTTTCTCCTATGCTCACAAATTTAAAGCCCATTTTTAGATCCGATGCAAGTATTTTTGATGATTATTGGGACACATTTCCTCTAAAATTCACTCTGAGGGATGATGGTGTTCAAAATTTGATTTTTCGAACTTCGAAATCATTTTTTTGACTAAAAAAAATTGTGAAAATCTCTAAATTCAAAAAAAAATTCAGTTGCCGATATTTCCGAAATTTTTTTGCCGAAATCGGCAACGGCAATTCGGCAACTTTTTTTCGTTGCCGATTTCGGCAACGGCAAATCGGCAACAAAATTCGGCAATTTCGGCAATCGGCAATGAAATCCGTTCCGGAAAGATATACGGTGGCTTCTCGAAGGTTGGTAACGTATAGTTTTTGACAGATTTTTTCCCTCAAATTGAATCTATCAGAATGAAACTTTATGCATTTTATGCCTGCAATTTTTCAAGTATGTTGAGAAATTTTTAGATTGATGAAATGAGTTCTAAATAATATTTGGGACCTTGGAATTTGGTCATTTTTTCGCGAAAAATGATAACTTTCTAGGCCAATCGTACGTCTAGAACGCAACTGTGAAATAATCTTACTATTGTATCGGTAAATTCTAAACTTGAAAATTGTGATTAAAGGAAGAAAAATCAGAATGCGTGACTCCTTCCTCACAAAACAACTTTGTAAACATGACTCCTCATAGCCCATTTTTAATGCTTGAGTGTGAGATGGCCCAAAAAGTTGCTGATTCCGTGAACTCAAGATCTAGTTTTTTATGGTTTTATAAATGCTCCTTAATGAAAACTTGCCCATAAACAAAATTATTATGATCCCTTTTCACTATATTTTAGAGTTTCACTAAATTTTAGAATCTGTGTTTTGAGTTATCTTTCATTGTTTCAAGTGAACTTATACTTATGTCGTTTCTTCGGGCCATGTTTTCGATTTTTTCAATTTTGCCAAAATTAAGAAATGGTAGCGGTTTCTAATGGTTTTCATTAATTGACAATTCGAATTATTATTTGCTTCAATCATATCCTATGTGACGCAGTGTATCAGTTCAGTGGAAAAGAAAAGCTCGCGAAGTTTGAATTACTTCGTATTAAAACCATTTTTCAAATTAAATTCATTTCCTATATGGACTCCTCAATGCCGGTATGGAATTTTGCACGTTTGCAATCTCAACCTTCAATGGACAAACTCCCGGAGGTAAGTCTACAAAATAAAGATCCCTACAAAAAATTTGACTTTTTTTTCTCTAGGCTGAACCAGAAATGGAAGAATATATTCCGCGTCCGCCAAACTGCTATATGATTTGGGCAAAAACAGAGCGTGCAGCAAGGAAAAAACAATACCCAGACGAAAGTTTCAAAGGAATCAACGTAAAACTGGGCCAAAATTGGTCAACAATGTCAATAGAAAGCAAAACGCCTTTTTTGGAAGAATCAAGAAAACAAAACGAAAGATATGAACAGGTTGGTTTTTGAATTTTTTTTGAATATCGAAAACAACCAAAAACGTTTATAAGCTCTTTTTTTTAAAGTCTGAATGTACCGTACTCCTAACCATTAAGCTCGAAAAGATGGCTAATTACTTCAATTTTCTCTGAAATCGAGTGAATATACCGTATTCCCTCTAATAAAAGCCACCCAAACCATGGACTTTGAGCTCAATTATCTCCATTCCTGAAAATGATATCATCAATTTGACAACTAATAAAATGTTTGTGATAATATGGCAATCATTTTATTATTTGACAAATTTTTGATATTTCTCCTAGGAATGAAGATTATTGAGCGCAAAATTAACAGTTTGGGAATGCTCCAATCAGGGGAAATACGGAAATACAATATTCTTTCAAAAGAAAAATTAAAAATTCGACTTTCTTCTGGTGGATATTGAACAATAGCCAATTTTGAACAAAAATTGAACAATAGCCAATTTAACAAACCATTCTAAAACTAAAACTTTCAGTGGAGACAGGCACGCATGGGACAAAATTGTTGGCTTCCGGAGGAGTCTTCTCCTCAAAAAATCAGAAAGCGTCATCCAGATTTTGCTGGATTGGAGAAGAAACCCGAATTGCCGAATTTGGTCCAGCAAATCAAGACGAAAGATTCCGGGGTATCACTCGATCGTAATCGAAATTCTGCTGGATTGGATAACAAACCAGAGTTATTGGATTTGGACGAGCATATGAAGGCAATGAAGAAAATAAAATCTGGAGAATCGCAGGTACACATTTTAAAAACAGTAATTGTGAAAAAAAAAAATTTAAGTCTGTAAGAAAACAGTTCTGTGAACTGTTTTACACTCCACAAATTTCACAGATTAATTCTTATTTCTTGCAGAATTCAAAAAATCCGACTGCTGCCTCCACTTCACACCATTTATGGGATACAGAATCGTGGGGTCCTATGCATGTTTTCTACACCGATGTCTTTTGGAATCTGTTCGCCTACACTCCACAATCCTAATTAAAAACCCTCGGTTGATTTGCAGCTTTTTCATCAATTCTTCATCATTTTCTAATGCTATGATTTGTTTTCTGATTTTTTAAACCCCAATAAAAGGAGCCCTTGGAATATTTTTTTGTTAGACTGGACGGAAACAATTTGGGGGGGGGGGGGTCTTGTTATTAGTGGGGACGTGGGAATCAAAAAGTGCTAGCATGTCTGGCTGACATTAACAAAAAAAGAAATCAGAACTTTTTCTGGAGCACAATGATATTTTTTGCTTAGATTTTTCTTCATTGCCTCTGGCTGTACTTTTCGATTAATGACTTTTATACACGAGATCTCATTCTCTTTTTTTGGACCTTTCATTCAGAACTTTTTTTTCTCTGCTTTCTCGAGAAGGGCCTCTGAATTGTTAACTTTGATTGAAAATATCCCGATTCCGATAGAACATATCGAGAATTAATCAACTCATAACGTGATTATGTCTCTTGATGGAAATGAAATGATGAGAATATAAATTGACAATTTGGAAGCCCTTTGATTTCAACTTTTTTCAACTTTTTTCTTCTGAACATCACTTACTCTTTTCCACTGTCTTTATTTCAACTATCTATTTTATGAAAGATAATGGCTTCGTTTTCATTCCCCATCACTGTAAACTATGCTGCGTTGCTGCAATCCAATACTGTCACAAGCCACCCCATAACTTTCCGGGATTGAGATTTGTATGTTGAACAAAAACAAAATGAAAATTTAGAAGAAATAATTGCAGCTTTGTTTCAATCCGTATTATTGCCGATCAAATTTTGATAAACCTGAACTGGAATCCTAAAACAATGGCCAAAAGCTGGAACATCTTCGGAACGTCTGAATTCATTTTTTCTGAAAATGAGAGTGCAAAACACGCGGAATTCCAACTCGATTCGATGAAGCCTTTAGTACTTATTTGTAAAATGGAAAACACACAATTGGCAGAGCTTGTGAAAGATGGAAAGTTGGACATCCGGTTGAATGTTCAGATTTCTTCCTGGACAGATAAAATTTGTATTTTCAACGGTGATGCAATCTACGTAAACTCAGAAGTGAGATTATATTTCATTTTTCAACTTATTTTTGTATTATTATTACTTAAAATCAAAAAATTATAACAGACAAACCGAAAAAAATAATAAAATAGTGTTTTTTATTATAATAAGATTTTCGAATTTGGAAAAGAAAAAATACAGGATTTTTTAAACCGGGGTGTACCGGGCCGTAGACTCCTTAGACCCCGGTCTTGGCGGGCCGGTAACATTTTCGAAAAGTTTTTCCCTGATGTAAAAACCTGTAACAGAAGTGTGGGGCAGTTCTGCATCAGTTTCTGCAAGAGTTATAAAATTAGACAAAAAAAATTATGGAATTTTAAAAAATGTTTTACGACCTATTCAACAAGAATCGAGAAACAGTTAGTCAATTGTCCCGCAGATTTCCATCTAAATCCCTTCATGAAATTTGTTTTCAGAACCTCAAACATCATGCACCGGAATTTTTCGAGTCGTGGGATGTAAAATCAAAAGCATATTTCCACATTTATGATAGGTGCCTGAGATCTGAAGATTTAAAATTGTGTCTTGACATAATGCTTGGAAATTCCATAATCACCGGTAATAATACTCCCTCTTTTAAACCTTATACTAACCTTTGCAGAGGAGCGGGTGGAGCACATTTTAAGCTGTTCGAAAAAAATTCTCAGATCCGAAACGCTCAATAAAATATCTGAATAATTTTTGTGGAAAGAGTCAAATAGGAATTTCGACGAAAAACTCAACTTCGCCTTGAAATATGGTTTACTCAGATTGAAGGTTAGTATAAAAACAGCTTTAGAATCGATGTTTACTCACTAAGGATTTTTTCAGGCTTCACTTCTCGAATCCGTCAAAAACATCCCGAAAGCGTGTGAAATTGTTCTACAAAATTACTCTGTGCTTTATAAGTCCGATTTGGTAAAGATTGTGGAGAACATTTTCAAGATCGAGAGAGCTTCAAGAAGATTCGGACCGAATACTCATCCGTATTTTCGTGCCACGCTTTCTCCGGCTTCACAGCAACAGCCAAATGAAAACGAATTTCTTAATTTGGACGCACTCACTGGAAGTATGGCCAACATCAAAGTTCAGTCACAGGGGCTGGTTCAGGAAATTGCCCAGAGGAATCCATTTGCACCCCCGGTGAATTTTTTCGCTCAATTTGCTCCAAATCAAGTTAATGTGAATCAGCAATTTCTGCAGCCAGTGTTCCAAAATCAAGCTGTGCTTCAACCAATCCTTCCACTTCCATCACTTAATCTTCAGCAGTATCTCGCTCGAGGTCTAGGAGGTGTTCCTGGACTATTTGCTGTCCCTCCACAGGCGGACCAACAGCAAATATCGATTGTCAATCAATTGCTCTACAACAATCTACTGAACAATCAAAATCCTGATACACCAGTATTCAATGATACTCCAAATCAAAATCAATAGTGTCTGGAATACTTATCTGTTTTCTGAAATATTTTTCTCAATCTTTTCGCTCATTCTCCATCTCTTTCTCCTGTTTCTGAAACTCTTGTGACGTCTAACCAACCATCTTATCTTATTCTGTATATTCCCATACTTTTTTCCATTCCATTCCATTGCTTCACTCGATTATTCAACAGTTTCCCATCCTTTCTTTTGTTTCTCTCAACTTTCCGAAATATTTCAATACATGCCTTCCCCGTTTTTATCACCTCGATCACAAACAAAAAAAATTATGCATACATTATTTTTTTTTGATCAGTTATTCCCTCACAAAACACGAGTCGAAACTATTGATTCAGATTTTCAAGCAGTCTGAAACGATATCCTTTTGAAGAAATTATTGGATTTCTGGATTTTTTCATATTGAAGTAATTTTCAAATTTCAAACACAGCAATCGGCTTAGAAAAAAGTTTTTTGTTTCAATTCGTTTCAATTTGTTCAATTCTGATAGTTTAGAGACTTGGGCAGCTTAAAATGTTTTGAATTTTTCAAATCTCTAGAAGTTTTTTCTACAATAACTCTAAATAATAAAAAATTATTGTCTATTCAAAATAATCGCGCGGTTGAACGAGTGAAAAAACGTGTAGAGAGTCTCCAAACCTGTAGAGGCGCTGTAGAGACGCAGACATTTTTACTCGTTCACTCGCGCGATTATTTTTTATTTTGAATAGAAAATATTTTATTTTCTCTGAATAGTATACCACTTATTTGTTCCATTTTGATGTTTTATGCTTTCATTTTATCACCTCTACCACAAACAAAAAATGAATATTTATGTTCGCTTCTCTTTCCTTTTTTGTAATAAACTGTCACAGTCATCAATCACATCCACAGTTTCCCTTTTTGGGTGTTATGAATTAAACAACAATCTCTTGAAATGCAAATAGGAATTTCAGATTTATCAAGAACTGTAACAGCAACTGAACTTTCAAAATCGGCATTTTCACAAGCCAACACTATTATGAATTTTAATGGATCCAATCCGTTTTTCGGACATATTCCTGGACCACCAAATGGATGTCATCGGGTTTATCAAGGCATGAGTTCATTGAATCGTTAGTTTCAAGCATAGAACAAAACAATTTTCAGAAAATGCGATGCCAAATAGAGCGCCACCGCCTTATTTCTTCAGACAATCAAGTTTGCCCAATGATCCGGCTCCAATGCATCACTGGGGAGGAGGACACGGAATTATGAGACTTTCCCGTCAATGGTCGTCAGGATATGAGTCACATCATCGAGGACTAATACCCCTTGGTCATCATGGACATCCATCAAGCCACGGATTTGGGCGTCATGGTTAGTTTCAATTGTAGTGCGATTTGAACTGCAAAAATTAATTTTTGTAAGCAGAATTATTTCAAAATCTATCAAGTAAAACCTGTAATAAAATCTGTAATAAAGGCCCTTAACTTTTAATTTTGAGCCAATTTATCTATGTTCCTGTCAAAGATATAAAAAAGTTGCCAACTGATGAATTGTTTACCGTAATATCACAAGTATTTTAACAGTTGACGACTTTTTTATACCTTGCATAAAAATTGAGATAAATGAGCTCAAACTTTAAAATGTGGGGGCCTCTAGTACAGGATTCTTAATAATCAAGTACTGTTTTCAGGTAGATTCTTTCATCCGTATCATGTTCCTACTAGGTTGCCCAATCCGATCAGAAACTTTGCTCCAGGAGGATATCCTCGTCTGTCAGGAAATGATAATCTGCAAAGGTTCTTCAATCCCATCGATCGCAATGTTCCTGGCGGATTCCCCGCTCCCACTCGACACAATTTGCCAAGCCGGTTTTCAAATACGAATGGACACTATGGTCCGATAAGATCAAATCATTTTAGTAATCACAGAGGATCATCAACCACAACCAGAAACAATCTTTCAAATGAAGTCCATGCTCAAAATGAAATCTCTAACCGTCAAAATGCTCATATTACTCAAAGAGTAGGGATTGGTAGACATAATCAAATGAATACAAGATTTCAGGTTTGTTTTAAGTCGACTGTTCAATGCATTATAATTTATAGATATAACTTATTTTTCAGACCATCGATCACGGAGCTTTATTCCTTGGAAAGATCAACTAGGAGGAAAACATCAGAAAAGGAGTAGCAAGGAATCCAAGCTAGGTAAATTGATTTATAAAGCCTTAAAAGCTATAAATCGTACCATAATTGATTCTCTCAAAACATTTAAATAAAACATTACCAATGTATTTTTTTTAATAGAGGTAAATAGCATTTCAGACGCTTCAGTGGAACCAGCATTTTTGGAAGAAGCTCCTCCTAAAGAAACCCCAAAATATGTGGAACCTAGAGACGAAGAATTCGAAAAGTCGCTGCTGGAATATGCGAATCGAGAGTTTTTCAACCCGGAATCATTGTGTTAGTTCCATTCCTAAACGAATATCTAATTTTTAGTCATACCATAATTCCTCTAATAGAAGCACACTCTAACCGTCAACTATGAACTTACCTAATCATCTCGATCCTTGTGGAGCATATCAAAATTATGTCAACTGATGAAATCTTGGTGATTGAGTGATGAAGAAATTTTCTGTAGACTAATCTTTGATAGTTTCTACAGAAATCGAGATAATTGAGCTTACAATTGAGCTTGTTAGAGTGGACGGTATGGATGGGCTTCTATGGTTTTATGTTTTACGGTAAATGCGAGCGTCGTTTGAAGAGGATCTGAATATTCCTTCAAGGACCATTTTTCAGTCAACAACTTTGAAGTCTCCGGACACAGTTTGTATTTGGATCAGCCGATGAACTACGAAGAAGAAAGCGTAACAGCTCAATTGGATGACGACACGCTTAGAAATGTTGGAGCACCGGCGTTCAATTATGGATATGGAGGCTTCCGTAAGTTTTGAATTTGTATTTTGTCTCACATGCCCGCCGGCCCGGGTTCCAAAATTTTCAAAATTTTTGAAAACAAAACATTTTGATAAAATACTCCCAAAAATCCAGGTTTCTCTCAAAAAATGACTCTTAAAAATTTCTGCCTCAAAAACCCGGCCCAGCCGGGCCGGGCCGGACCAATGAAAATTCCTATACCGGCCCTTAATCCTGAGAACTGGAAAATGCAGAAGTTTGAAGATTGAAGAATAAATAAATGCGAAAATTTAAAATTTGGAAAATTCGATCTAGAAATTTAGAAATTCATAACACAGAAAATTAAAAAATTCCAAACATGAGAATTTCAAAATTTTTTGAAATTTTGAAATTTTAAACATTCACAGAAACAATCAGACATACAGAAGTTCGAAAAATCGAATAATTATTGAAGTTCCAATATTCAGGAGCCTATTTTTGAATTTTTTAATAGTTTGATTTTCTGAACATCCGAATCTCGGAATTTTTGTAATTCATGAATTCATCAATTTTGAATTTTGAAAAATCAAAAACATTTTCAACAAACCAAAGAATTCAGTAATTTTAAAATTTGAAAAAATTCCGGAAACTCCGAAAAATTACCAAATACCTGTAAGTGGCCATGAAACGAATGGAAATCCAAAATAAATAATTTTCAGCTATACCTTCACTTCCGGAAAACGAGGATATTGAATATCACGAAGAAGGTGAGTTGAATAAGTCTCTATTTAACAAAGAAATCCCCATCAATCGATTCGTTTTCAGAAACCAAATGGATTAGAAAACGAGATATAGAGAAGAAACAAAAATTGACAGAATATAAGAAAATTTTGATGGGAACAGTTGATAGACTTCAGATGGAAGTAAACAAAAAACGGTCAGAGATTGAAGAAATCATTGAAAATACCGAAAAACAAACGAGAGATGATGCGAGATTGTTGGAGAGAAAATCTATATATTTCTTTGTTGAAGAAACAGACGCCCAGAAAAAGGACAGAAAATGGAGATCCAAATTTCTCTCTCATTTTGGTAATGTAAAAGACTTACCACTGGATCAGCTCATGGTCAGGCTTAAAAACGCCCTCCGGGAAAAAAAGCAACTTCAGAAAAGGCGTGGTGAGTAGAGTAAAAATCAGTTCAATTTTAAAATATCAAAATTTTAAGAGTCAAAGGAAATCATTAAAAAAGTGGAAGAAGATATAAGAGTGGCAGAAAAATTTTTGGGCAGAGCTTCTACGTATTTCATTGCTGAACAAGAACTAGAACGAGCTTCCAGGGAAATGAGATCAATTATCCAATTTGATAACAAGCTGAAACGTCGCCTGAATGAGAGAGATACACTTTGGAAGGAGATCATGGAAAAGAACTGTGGTAAAGAAAACTGTTTAAATATTCAAATTTTTAGGACTCTGCTGAGGATCAAAAATTTTGAAATTAAAAAGACTAGAAAATTTGCATTCACAGAAACTTTTTGAATTCGTGGTTTGATTTCTGAGATTCCTGAAAGACATTTGTTTTGTTTTTTTCTGTTTTCAGTTCAAAGACCGGTCAAGCAGAAATTTTTCAGAAATTGGCAATAGCTGAAAACTAGGAAATTTCCAATAATTCTGGGAATGCAAATTTTTGAACAGGTCTGTTTCTGTTTATACTAGGTCTGTTTCACACACTTCGAAATTTTCAAAGTGGTCAGAAACTGGCCGAAAATCATCTTATCGACCGGCATTGAAACTTGAAATCTCTAAAAGTGGTCATGCTATATTCAACTTACCAAAATTCTGTTCATTTATTGAAACATCGAGAATTCTGCTTCTGAAACTCGTATCCCTTCTAAATATTCATAATTTACAGTGAAAACAACCTTGAATCACCAGTTCACCGATGTGCTGAATATGGAGAAAGACACAGAGCAATGGAGACCGAGTAAAGTTGTCTCAATCCCATGGTATTCATTCAATACATTTATTTTCTTTGTTATAATCTAATTTTTAGGATCTTTCGACTTGCTAAATCATCATCCACTGCTCATTATCAATTAACTGTCGATTTCAAGCCTCTTGTTCCAGTTGCATCCGGATTCATTGCAACTGTCCGTCCTACCATAGGAACAAAAAAACTGTCCATTTCCAAGTTCGAATATTTTGGGGATAAAGGCAATTCTGCAACAGTTTTTGAAATGACGTTTAGAGAAGAAGAAATTGAAAAATATTTGGATGACGGTCATCTCTTTGTGAAGCTCAAAGTTTGTGTCAAATCAGGAAATGATTTGAGAGAGCGATTGGAATTCAACAAATCTGAAGACAGAGATACATGTGTTATAGTTGAAGACCAGCGTTTTTATGTTTCAAAAAGGGTAAGATTTTAGATTTCAATACTGGAGGGACACATCCAAAAATATCCTTTTATGATTTTTAAATTACCATTTTTTTCAAGGAACTCGCATCTTTCTCTCCAGTGTTTGACAGAATGTTTTTCGGAGGATTTGTAGAATCAAAGAAATCAGAAATTACCTCAAAAGGCATATTTGCCTCAGATTTTCATGATTTCCTTGTATTCTGCGTGAATGGAGGAAGACTCGAGAGTAAGACAATTTCTGTGAGCAAAATACTGTGAGAATTTCTAGATGATACTGTTCGAGGAATCGCAGATATCGCAGAAATGTATGATATCGAGGCTGTTCGGTTATGTGCATCAACTTCATTTCACAGAATCAAACGTATTCCACCATAGAAAAACGACAATTTGGGGAGGAGTTTGGCATACCGGAATTGAAGGTTGGTCCCGAAACGCTAAATTTCAATTTCCATTATCATTTTTCAGAACTATGTCCGCCAACAATGATTTGTTCAAAGTTTTGAAAAACGAGTTAATTTGAGATAACTTTATTTGAAATTGTGTGGTGTTTCCTTCTTGTCATTATGGATAAAATTATTTTATTATTGATTTTTGCATACCTTATTTTTATTTTTGATTTTTGCATACCTTGGTATTTTTTATTGGCGGAAAAAATAAACTGCAAAAACAAGAGGAAAATTCTTTTTCCGAAAGACCGCCTGCTCAATGGATGCCTGTCGGGTGCCGCTCGCCGACTATTAACAGCCGCTCAAAAGAACACAAAAGAGGAAAGAGGGAAGAGGTCGTATAAGTATCGATGACAAGCAGATCCTGATTATTAACTCCGCCCACAAGCAGATGTGTGTCATGGCTTTGGTAAAGATCTCACTCTGTTGCATCATTGGGTATTCAACAGTCCCCCACTCATTCTCTTGTTACTCTCGATTTCCCACGATATTTCTCTGTACCTATCGCCTTCAGTACCAAAAAATAAGAATATACATATGCACTTGTATTGATTTCCTTTTCTTTTCTTGACCAGCCAGTAAACTGGGTTTGCGGAACGGAATTCCAAAGCATTTAATGAAATCTTAATCACTTTCTGAATGTATGTGATTCCGACCGGAATTATTTCCTTTTTTTTTGTTCCAAGACTTTTTTCGGAATGAGTCTTTTTTGGATTACGATATGTGAAAGGCGCACAGAAAAAAATTTGCCTGTTGGAACCAATCGGAATCACATTAATAACTTTTTTGTGTTTTCGAAACCGCCAAATTTTTTTCGTTGTCGTTATTGAAAAGTGGAATATTGATATTCCGAAATTCTGAGATTTTTAAAATTGTAATATTCCCAGATTCCTAAATTCCGAAGTTTGCGACAACGGAGTTTTCCAAACCTCTCAGAACAGGAAAATTTCTGAATTCCGAAATTCCAAAATTTTCAAAACAGGAATGTTCGGAAATTTTCTAAACCAGAACAAAACCAGAGTTCTAAGATGTTTAAATTATAAATATTCCGAACTACGAAATTTCGCAATTTTCAAAACTGAAATATTCCGAAATTGCGAATATCTGAGATTTTTAAAATCAGAACCTTCCGAAATTCTAAAATTTTCGAAACCGGAATATTCCAAAATTCCAAAAGTTTGATACTCGGAATTTTCGACTTTCCTAAAATTTTTGGAAACGGTATTCCGAATATTTCTCACCAGTAAGTAATGCGATTGTTTTTCAGAATCTACCAACCTGAAACTCAAGACACTTGAAAAATTTATTGTTTATTTTATATTGACGTATTCCTGAATTTTTAGCTAACGATAGTTTTTTCACTATTTCTTTTTTTCAGAACTTACTTGGTCAACCATGAGCTTTAATGAATTCAATCAGGCTTTCGAGCAGTTTGGACAGGTGAATGGAGGTGATTTCTGCGATGTCGCTCCAATCAACAACAGTGGAACAGGACAAGACGGGATGTCCCATCAATTGTCGTCAGGGTGTGAAGGACTGATTCCTGATGTTCAACATGGACACCCACCAAGCATCGGATTAGAGGAAAACGGTCAGTTAATTTCTATCTTCGCATCAAACCAAGAAATGTAAAATTATAAATAGATTCTCTACTAGACACCATTTGTCAATCGCTTATTCCCATTTGCATGCAAGCAATATCTCAGGAAAATTTCCATTCGAATCGAGCAGTTCTTCCAGAACATTCTCCACCTATACTGCATACAACGATTCATGTGGGTTTGCTGATTTGACAGTATTCCTGAAAATACTAAAAAATAATTCCAGCTCGAGGCATTCCAGTTCAGATTGAATCAATAAGTCGCGCCGATGTGAATCAGAAAAGGGTTGCAGGTGAATTATTTTTTGGGCTTTTGGGAGCTTGGACAAAAATCGTACTTTATTCGTGTTCTAAAAATCGTACTCTAATAGGGTTTTTCAGTGAGAAGCAAATTAGCAAGTGATTGGTTTTTTTTCTTATGCAGAAAACAAGGCCGATTGCTGGAGTTTTCTAGGCCATGTTTTGCCTTCGTGCAGCTACATGACCACGAGCTCAAAAATCTGAATAATTAAAAGCGTAAGAAGTTCCCTGCTTGGGTCTCGCTCAGACTGGTCGTGTAGCTCCACGGAAACAAGTCATGATCTAGAAAACTCTAGCAATCGGGCCCAGCAAATTGCTGGTTTTCTGCATAAGGAAAAAACCAGCAATTTGCTGACTTGCTTCTCACTGAACAACCCCAAAAATGAAAATTATTTCAGAAACTGGACAAAATCAGAATGAAACGCATCTTCAAAAAGCTCCAAGATACGTGGAACCCAAGTTCGAGGAATTCGAAAAGTCACTGAAGGGATATACAGATCAGATGTTTTTCAACCCGGAATCATTGTGTTAGTTTGATTTTTTTATTTATTTTTCTCATTTTTGAGGACTCATAATATTTCTAATTGAAACTCACCCGAACCATCAACTTTAAATTCAATCACCTCCTTTCCTGTAAAACATATCAAATATTTGTCAACTAATAAAATATTGGTGATATTGTGAAAAAAAAAATATTAGTTGACAAATTTTCGATAGCTTCCACAGAAATTGAGATATATGAGCTCGGAGTGAACGGTTTGAATGAGCTCCTATCTGAGGAAATGAGGTTTTTATGTTTTACGGTAAATGAAGCCATCATTTGAAGCAAATCTGAATATTCCTTCAGTGACAAATTTTTTTCCAGTCAACAACTTTGAAGTTTCCCAGCACAGTTTGTTTTTGGAGCAGCCGATGAACTACAAAGAAGAAAGAGTGACACATGAGTTGGACGACGATACGCTCCGAAACGTTGGAGCACCGGCGTTCAATTATGGATATGGAGGTTTCCGTAAGTTCACAAATTCAGAAAAATTGACAATTTTGGCAATTTGGGAAATTAAGAATTTGAAAATTTGAAAAAAATACGGAAACATCAAAATGCGAAAATCTGAAATCCGAAATTTGAAAAAAAATTGAAAATTTGAAAACATGAAAGATTTTGACAATCTAGAAAATTTAAAAGTTCGAAAATTTAATATTTTTAAAATTTTAAAACTCTAAAATTTATAAGTTCAGAAGTTCAAATAAATTAAGAATTAAGAAAAACAAAAAAGACCGTCTAACTGAAGAGTTTAGGTTCAAGATTTTAAAATTTGAAAACATCCAAAACTCAAAAGTTAAGAATTTCAAAACAAATCAAGTATTTTGTGAAATTAATATTTCCGAGAGACTGGAAAATTCAGAAGCTCGAAGAGAAGAATATTCGAAAAGTCTCGAATTTCAAAAATTCAGAAATTCGATAAATTCAGAAAATAATTCCAAAAAACTGGAGAATTTGAAAGTTTGATGATTACAAAAATTACGAAAATTCCGAAATTCAGAAATTTGGAAATTTTCAGAAATTAAAAAATTTGGAAAATTCATGAAATAAAATTAGAAAATTCTGTAGCTATGAAACGACTATAAATTCAAAATGTATAATTTTCAGCTATACCTTCCCTTCCGGGAAAAGAGGATACTGAATATCACGAAGAAGGTGAGTTGAATCAGTTTTTATTTAAAAAGAAATCCCCATCAATCAATTCGTTTTCAGCAACCAAATGGATCAAAAAACGTGAAATTGAGAAGAAGCAATTATTGATGGGAACAGTTGATAGACTTCAGATGGAAGTAAACAAAAAACGGTCAGAGATTGAAGAAATCATTGAAAATACCGAAAAACAAACGAGAGATGATGCGAAATTGTTGGAGAGAAAATCTATATATTTCTTTGTTGAAGAAACAGACGCCCAGAAAAAGGACAGAAAATGGAGATCCAAATTTCTCTCTCATTTTGGTAATGTAAAAGACTTACCACTGGATCAGCTCATGGTCAGGCTTAAAAACGCCCTCCGGGAAAAAAAGCAACTTCAGAAAAGGCGTGGTGAGTAGAGTAAAAATCAGTTCAATTTTAAAATATCAAAATTTTAAGAGTCAAAGGAAATCATTAAAAAAGTGGAAGAAGATATAAGAGTGGCAGAAAGATTTTTGGGCAGAGCTTCTACGTATTTCATCAATGAACAAGAACTAGAACAAGCTTTCAGGGAAATGAGACCAATTATCCAATTTGATAACAAGCTGAAACGTTGCCTGAATGAGAGAGATACACTTTGGAAGGAGATAATGGAAACGAATTGTGGTAAAGAGAAATTTTCACATTTTTGAAATTTTACGACTCTCCTGCTGATTGAAAAGTTCAAAATTAAGAAAGGCTGAAAACTTTGTAATCTCAGAATTTTTAAATTCATAGTTTTTTAGCTATCCGCAGGTTCCCAGAAGACACATGTTTTTCTTGTTCTCAGTTCAAAATCCGGTCAAGCAGGGGAAAATCAAATGAAAACACTTTTTTGTATATCTTATTGACCGGTAATTTATGTTCATTCACTAAGGTGTGAGATTTGAGATGAACTACATACGTGCGCTATCAGAAATCAATTCCAATTCTCTAAAAGTACTCAATTTTATTCAATTCACCAAAATTCCGGCCAGTTATTGAAACATTGAGAGTTCTGCTTCTGAAACTCGTATCCCTTTTAAATATGTGCAATTTACAGTAAAAACGACTCTAAATCACCAGTTCACCGATGTGCTCAATATGGAGAAAGACACAGAGCAATGGAGACCAAGCAAAGTTGTCTCAATTCCATGGTATTCATTCAATTCAAACATTCCGTTTTCTTACATTTTATTTTCAGGGTTTTTCGATTCCAAAAGTCATCTGGTCTTTACCACTTGACCGTAGATTTTGAGCCACTTGTTCCAGTTACATCCGGATTCATAGCAACTGTCCGGCCCACCATGGGAACGAAAAAACTGCATGTTTCCACGTTCAAATATTTTGATATATGGGATTCTACACGAATTTTTGAAAAGACGATCATAAAGGAAGAGATTGAAAAATTTTTGGAAGATGGTAATCTCTCAATGAAGCTCAAAGTTTGTGTCAAGTCAGGAAATGATTTGAGAGAGCGATTGGAATTCAACAAATCTGAAGAAAGAGATACATGTGTTGTAGTTGAAGACCAGCATTTTTATGTTTCCAAAATGGTGAATTTTAAGATTTCAATACATTTTCACTTACGCTTTTTTCAGGAGCTGGCGTCTCTATCTCCAGTTTTTGACAGAATGTTTTTCGGAGGATTTGAAGAATCCAGAAAATCAGAAATTACCTTTCAAGGCATATTCGCCTCAGATTTTCATGATTTCCTAGAATTTTGCTTTAATGGAGGAAGACTTAACAGTAAGACGAGCTTTATGATCAAAATATAATCAAAAATTCCAGACGGGACAGTTAGAGGGATCGCTGATGTCGCTGAAATGTTTGATATCGAGGCTGTTCGGCTAATGTGCATCAACTTCATTTCACAGAATAGAGAGTATTCCACCAAAGAAAAGAGACAATTTGGGAAGGAATTTGACATACCGGAATTGAAGGTTGGACCCGATTTTCACGCAAAATTTCAATTATCATTTTTCAGAACTATGTCCGCCAACAATGATTTGTTTGAAGGTTTGAAAAACGAGTTAATTTGGAATAACGTTTTTTATTGAAATTGTGAGGTGTTCCGTTTTTTCATTATGGATAAACTTTTTTCTCATTTTTGCCTATAATCTGTTTCTCCTAGATTACGTTATTTTTGTACACTTTAGACGCAGATATCCGTGGCTGTACATTTCTTTATCGTAGACAATTATGATAACACCAGCCTGCTGGCAGCTGCGCCTTTGGCGCAACTCATCATTTTCAATTTTTCGTCGCTCCACCCCTCACTTTTCGAGTTTTCTTTCTCACACTGGTTTTGGTGGCAGCTAACCTATCATTTAAAAACCCAAAACCGGACAGAGTGACATGAGGACCAACAGACGCGTTTAGCGCTTTATATATTAAGGAAGATTTTAATAACTATGAATCCACACAAAGTTAGAGTTTGAGATTTTGCAAATTTTCGAAATAGGAGATTTTAAATTTTTCTCTACCTAGCTGCTCGTTGTTAATGAATTTTTTGCCTGAAGGTTTCTTCCGAATGCCTTGCTGAGATACTGTATCTCGTATCTGGGTTCTTCTTTTCGTTGACAGAAGATTTTCGAATGAGTCATCTCAGTGTGAGTCATAAATCGGCTGGAAGCTATCGACATCAATTTTCCGTTTTCTCTGCGTTTCTATAGCGACGTCTCATCTTTCATCGTATTTTTTTTGCATATTTCTAATTCTATTATTTATTGGCGGATAAAATAAACTGCGAAAACAAGAGGAAAATTCTTTTTCCGAAAGACCGCCTGCTCAACGGATGCCTGTCGGGTGCCGCTGGCCGACTATTAACTCTCAGATATTCGCTCAAAAGAACACAAAAGAGGAAAGAGGGAAGAGGTCGTATAAGTATCGATGACAAGCAGATCCTGATTATTAACTCCGCCCACAAGCAGATGTGTGTCATGGCTTTGGTAAATTTGACTTCCTGAAATTATCGAATTGTATGGGAAAAAAAGCTTGTTAGTTTAGTCTACGGCTGTTCATTTTTATCGTATACAATTATTTTGATTGTATACAGATTTTCGAAACAGGATATTTGAAAATTTTCTCTACCTAGCTGCTTGTTGTTAATGCCTTTTTTGCATGAAATTTTATGTCTCTTACGGAAACCATTCTGAGATACTGTATCTCGTATCTGGGTTCTTCTTTTCGTTGACAGACCATTTTCGAATGAGTCATCTTAGTGGGAGTCATAATTCTGTAGGCCAGCAGCTATCGACACCAATTTTCCGATTTCTCTGTGTCTCTATTGCGATGTCCCATCTATCCTTGTAGTTTTTTGCATACTCCTTTACTTCTCCCTATTTGATCCCACTATGTTTCATCATTGGGTGTTCAACAGTCCCCAACTCTTGTTACTCTCGATTTCCTATGAAACTTCCTCGTATCTATCCTCGCCTTCAGAGTCAAAAATAAATGTAAATATACATATGCATTCGTATTGATTTCCTTCTCTTTTCTTGACGAACCAGTGAATAAGAATTTTCGGAACGGAATTCCAAAGCATTTCATGTGATTCCAACCATTTTCAGAATGTATGTAATGCCGACCGGAATTTTTTCCGTACCTTTTTTTTCAATTTTTTCTCTAATTTTTTTTTCAAGGCTTTTTTTTTGGAATTAGTGATTTTTGGATTACGATATGTGAAAGGCGTACGAAAAAAATTTATTTCCATGCTGGTTTCAAGCTTAATCACTTTAATAATTTTTCGCGTTTTTGAAACTTGTGTATCAATTTTCGCGTTGTCTTGACGGAAATAAAAATTCTAATTCAAAATTTGAGTTTGAACAAATTTTTAAAATTCCGAAATTCTGTAATTTCCAAAACTGAAAAATTATTCCAAATTTTCGAAATTTTGAAACTCAGAATTTTAAAAATCTGAATACTCCGAGATCTTCAAAACGGGGATATTCCAAAATGCGGAAATTCCGACATGGTAATTTCCAGTTTGAATTTGAATTTTTTGGGTTTCTATGTATTTCGATGATCCCAATCGAGAAGTCTTGTATGCACCCGAATCAGAAAATTTTCTAATTTCTAACGATGCATAAAATATTTCAATGTTTATTTTGTTCATTGGCAAAATAATCATCACTTCTCTTTTACTCATTTTTTAGTTTTAAAACAACCCTCAAGTTTCAAATCCAGTTTGATTAGATCTGAACTCCTTTATCATTAATGCAAACTGAGAAAAAACTGAATCTAAACATAGCTAGTACTAATTCAAATTAAACTTTTTATATTTTCAATTCAAGTGCCATTTTTATTTGAAAAAATTAATAGAAAGTTACGAGAAAAAGAACAATATTAATCAACACTAGAACTTGAGACACTAGAACCTGAGACTGAATTATTTTTCCACTTTTCGATCTGAATATAAGCGGATAATGTTTTTTTTTCCAACTAATCATTATTTTAATTTTAGATCTAATACAAATTCTAAGATTTTCGAATAATTTACCAATTTACAGTTACCCCCAAAAATTGAAATTTTCAAAAGTTGGAGAAATCTACCGTAACCCAGATAGTTTCTCAAAGTTTTGGAATTTTTACAAGAAAATTACAATAACGACAAAACTTTGAAACTTAGAAAGTTGCAAAAGTCTACCGTGATACAGGCATTTTCTACAAATTTTCGAAAATTTGAAAAATGTGACGAACACTACAGTAATCCCAATTATGAGTCATGACACTCTTTCATTGTGTTGACATTACTCAGGGCAAGCAACCAGTTCGGAACTACAGTATCACATGAATTGGACGCATGAATCATGCTATTCCCCCTTCCCCCCCCCCCCCCCCCTCTAACTCTAATTTTTTTCGGACAACAATAATAATGTGACCTTTTTTTCAAAATGTTTTTTATCGGGCCTGGTGATCACTTTTGATAACTTCTGAGAAATTCTCTAAGAAGCGTCTCAACCACGGAGATCCATCTGGTGTTAAGTATATCAATTACCGCATGAATGTTTATATTATCCTTCTCCGCCAAAGAAACGCTTGCTGGATGGATGTCTGTCGGATGCCGCTATTCACAGCCGCTCAAAGGAAAAAAAGGAAAAAAGGGAGGACGTCGTATAAGTATCGATGACGAGCAGCCCACATTCATAGGCCATTCTCGATCTAGCCTGAAATTTCCTTTAAAATCTGGGTTAACAAGGTGTTGAGGCTCTCTTCTAAATTAGTCTAAAATTCTCAATGGCAGTTATCAAATTGATAAAGCTCCGGGGATTAGTGAAACAATATGAAATGTTTTTTTTGGTTTTTGAATATACTCCACAACCTAATCTGATGTGCTATTACATATTTTACGGTATCTAGCTTTTCTCATTCATTATTTATTATGCTTGCAAAAAAATTTTTATCACATTTTTATTACTCTTCCTCTAACACGGCGCATCTCTGCGTCTCTAATTTCTTTTCCCTCGCCCGGTACCGTCTCTCGCTGCAACCATAAACCACGCCCCTTCAACCTGTCCTTCTCTATCCCACACTAACTTGTCATTTTGTACTTTTAACTCTGTCGGAAGATGTGACTCATAGCCCTCTATCTGATAAATATTCCTGAAGCTTTTTCGGAAAGAACAAATGTACCGCGCTCTAGTGAACAAAACGCCAATTCAACTAGAAAAAAAAACATTTTCTACCATTTACGTCATTTTTTCTATTTTCCAGAAATGTTACTGTCATGTTGGTGATTTCCAACCATTTTCCTATTTTTTTTTGGTGATTTTTTTTTGTTTCTTCTTCATATAACGTTCAGTTCTGACTGTATGCACTGTGTCCCACCTATTTTTTGTCTTTTTGTTGCTTACTCTGCGCCGCGTGTACTTGTAATGCTTTCATCGCCTATAACAGCTGTCTGAAAAAACACGATTGAGACGCATAGAAAAAAATCCAAAAATTTCTCTGCGTCTCGACCTTATATATGCTATTAAGGCTTGCTGCTCCGAGATACCGTACTCGCACTGCAAAAATTACTCGCTAACCTTCATCTTTTTCAGAAAACTAAAATAAAAAATTTTGGGAATGAATTATCTTTCGCAATCCGTTTTAGGCACGATTCTTGAAATTTTATTAGGACACGATCAGTGTTTCTCCATAGTTTTCATACTTGAAACATCGAGACTTGATCCTGCCCCATCTGGTGGACCAAGTTTTTTTCCAAATCAGACAATAAAGATGAAATTTTTCAAATTTTGGAGAAAAATTCAAGGGACAATCTTTTTTTAAATCTTTTTTCTCATTTTTTATTCAGTATAATTTTTTTTGATTGACTCCTAATTTTTGAGAAATATAAGAAAAAGTTACTGGAAAACCCGAAAAAAATGCACAAAAAAGTAACATAATCTGTTGTCTAATGACTTTATATGTGATTTCACTTCAAAATTAAGTTTCTCTATCACTCATCTTTATCTCCTGTCTGCATCTTTCGATTTCTACAGATTATTCTTACATAGAGAAATTATTCCACTCTCTAATTTCAAAATTTCCAGTAGTTTTCAATTCTTCGAACTGATATGGCCGAGAGATCAGCAACACCGCCGCCTCCTCGCTCTCCAAGCCCGGAGTTTCCGGAAGAAAAGGATGACTATATTCGGGGAGAAACGACCGACGAACTGATTCCCGTGAGTCTATTTTTTCCAGTTATCATTCAGTTCAAACTAGACCAATAACAGATCTAGTAGAAATATAAAAGTGGAATTATAAAAATGGAAATATAAAGTGGAAATAAATCCCAACCGGAATATTATAAGAAAACTTTTCGAGGTTCAATTCACTCAATTGTTAGAATTTTTGGTTGGGTTTCAAGTTCCAGTTTTGCGTAATAAGAATTTGTAGTTCTGATTTTTTGACGTTCTGAATTTTCTTGAAATCTTCAAATTTCGATATAAGTTCCGTTTTCGTTGTTTTCTTTTTTCGAATTTGCAATATTTCTAGAAAACTTCTGGAAAAATTTTGCCAGTTCTATTTATTTTATAAGAGATAGCCGGTTAGCAAGCTTTCTTAAAGTCTTGATGGTTCAAATAAACAAGAAAAAAGGAGTTTCTCTCAATAATCATGATTTTCAGATAAAGAAGGTGACAGGGGTCATGTTCATCGACGGATCGCTGTACTTCTATGTGGAGTGGGAGAACGAGGATGAAGGTAATGGTTGGCAGCCGGCAAGAAATTTCGGGGAGAACTTCCTCGAACATTTCCACATAATGGAGTTCCGCGAGAACAACAAAAATTTGTTCAAGAGGGAGTATAAAAAATGTAAGCTTATAAGTTGTTCTTGTTTGAAAATCGTTTTTTTTTGCAGACCTGAAAGAGAAAGAAGAGTTCCACGACAATTCGGAGGACTCGGACTTCGATTTCGTAAGTTTTAAAAAATCTAAAAATCCATTAATACCTTTTTTCCAGGACATCGCTACAAAGGTCAAGAAGGACCCGAAAGAAGTGGCCAAGGCGGCCAAGAAAAAGGCTGAAAAGAAGAAGGCGAAAGCTGAAAAGAAAAAAGCTGAGGCTGAAAAGAAAAAGGCCAAGGCCGAGAAGAAGAAGAAGAAGAAGAGTGATGACAGGAAGAAGAATGAGAAGAGAATGAAGATGCCCATTCTCCCAAAGGGAAAGAAGTGGAACAATCTCGCCAGAAGAGTGGTAAGAGAAGGCGAGCATCTATCAAATTTTTTTTCAGTTTTGGTTATTGTAATTTTCAGATTCTTGAGTCCATTCCACCGATATTCTCAACTGTCTTCTGAACATCATTTATCCCATGATAATTTTTATCAAAACGTTCTATATTACCCCGCTCCCCTCCCCTCCCTTTCGCTTTGATTCCAAACGGTTGTGTTTTCTCTTCTTCTCTTTCTTTCTCTCACCCTTCTCCTTGACAACCTGAGCCTTCTTCATCTCGACCTTCGCCTTTTTCTCCTCAGCCTCAGCCTTTTTTTTGTCGGCTTCATATGGTCCTTCCTGACCTTCTTGAGAATAGCCTTCATGTAAACATGGCGGTGATGCAATTGCTTATTTTTGAAAATTTACAAAGTCAAAGTCCGAGCTATCTGAATCATTGTAGAACTCTACTTTCTCTTTGAGGTCTGTACAAAACAAGAACTTCTGGCCATAAGCAATTTTTAACCTCAAATGTCTTGTACTCTCTTTCTCTCTTCCAAACCACTACAAATTTTTCTTGTGGAACTCCATATCCTCCCCGAAATTTTGTGTCTGCTGCCAGTTCTAAGTTTTCTCAATATTTTCCCACTTCATCTTAAAGTACAGTGTGCTATCAAAGAACATGATCCCTTCCTTTATCGGAACAATTATGATCATTTCAAATATTCAAGCTTCTTCTAAATCGTTCCAAGTATTCCTTTTTTATTTCCCCCGACCTTCTCATCTTCACAATCTTCCTCTTTTTCAGCTAGTATTATTCAACCCCTGCTCACCGTTCTTATACTTTGTGATGTTTCCAACAATTCAAAATCAGTTTCGGTTCTGTTTCGTTTTTAAATTTTTTAACTACATGCTTTTCTATTTTCTAGCAATTTTAAAATTCATTAATGAAACATTTATCGATAAAAACTAGAGCCGACAAAGAGAAAAAAACACACTTCATTTCAAAGTTTCAATGTTTTAGCAGTGTGGGTTTCAGAGGAAATATAATTTAGGAATACATATATTTCGGGAACAAAAAACGGCTTTCGTTTACCATTAGGGCAGAAATCAAAATATTAGAAATTGTGAACATGAAACGAGAAGAGAAAAACCAAAAATTAAATTTCAATTTGAAGGATACTGTACCCAAAAAAGAAAAAAATTATACAGAAAAAAGACCAAAATACAATAGAACACAAGAGGAAAACAAGAATTCAAATTGAAAGGGACATTCAAACAAACGGTGATTTCGAAAGAATAGTGAAAGATAATCATATTTTTGGATACAAATAAAAAGATAAGACGCTAATTATTTGAGTCGAAAATATCTCTAAGCTTCAAACTTTTCTTTCGCATACTGGAGTACTGTTCTCAAATTTTCACTCTTCACTGGAGGGATACAACCGTTGAATCCTAAATGAGAAAACACCAATCCATTGGCAACGAGTGAATTGTAATCGAGTTCTTTCCGAATCCCATTCAACTGCAGAAAATAATTGGGACGCGTGTAGATGGTATGCTTCGTTGTGATATGTGTCGCGGCCCTCATGAATTGTCCTTTGATTTGAGACATTGTCTCTTTCGTACGTACCGAATGAGCACAATTATTTGGTTTACTGGAATGTGGATCTTCTATAACATTGAATTGGTTGTTTTCTGAAAATCCAATGGAAAGAGACCCTTCCTTGTCTGAAAATTTCAGCATATATTGAACAAAACAAGATCTTCATTTTTTTAGTTGACAACTTTTTTGTACAAATTGAACCAAGCAAATTAGGCGGCAAAGAAAATTGGGCAATGGGAAAGTTGTCCAATACGAAAACTAATAACTTCTTGTGTTAATTTATAATGCAAATGAAGTGCTTCGAAACTGTTTCTAAAACTCGTTTTTCCAATATGAATTTTTTAAGCACATTAAGGCTAAATTTATTAATTGTATTGAGTTTGTATTTTTTAAATTTAGATTTTTCATGATCGCACTTTGTTTGTTTGGTATACTACTGTTTCTGTCTGATTTTTGCCTTCAAAATTTTTCCAAAAATTAGAAAAAAACTTTACATTCAGTTCAACTTTTGGTTTCAAAATGTGCCAGGTGGTCTTTGCTGTCCATAAATAGCTGCTTAAAATAATTTTCAAGAAACTCCACTGGCTTTTCATAATTCTTCGATTTTCCGTCTCTTTCTGGCAATTCCTGCGGCGCCTCGTGACCCAAACTATCTGCACAGATGTTTGTGAGGCATTCGTTTTGCCAACAACATATTCATTTCGAATTCATTTTATCTCTTTAGTCTCTCTTCTTTTTACAGGCATTTGTTATTATAAAGTCGATATCACATCATTCCGAATGTTTGTTGGCCAACCGGCTATTCTTTTTGTGCTTGCACTATTTTTTGGTTTGGTTCAAGCTGATGGGATCATAGAATTCTCTGTAAATTCTTCAAAACCAGTTCACCTTGAAGTCACAGTTTGTGTGAATTTCGAATGTAATGGCCATGACGAGCTTAGTGAAGTTCGTGAGATAGATGCAGATGTCCCATTCAAATTTCACACTGGTTTGTACCATGGACAAGCGCTGAAAAAGTACGATCTGCATGTGAAGATTTTTGATCCAGTCACGAAAAGTTAGTTATTCTGAAATTCGGTTTGAAATTTTCTAATTTTCAGGTATTCTTCTCATATCAAGCCACAAGCCAAATGCTAGTACGGACTGGAATTCGATTCATCATTATTACGAAGAGACAGAACTTCACATAGATATCTGGTTCCGCAACAGATGCTCCAGGTAGGTGGATTTTTTTTTCATTTGAAATAATCAGTTGAATATTACAGTGGCTTCTATGGCAACAGATGCGGACGAACCTGCCAGGCATCTGAAAAATATCACTGGGATTGTTCCAAAGAAGGAAAACGGATATGTTCACCAGGATGGCAGGGTCCGACATGTTCCTATCGTGAGTTCCGCTAACTTTCACTCTTAACACATTTATCGCAGCTCCTGTTAAAGATATGAAAAAGTTGTCCACTGATAAAAGGTTTATCATAACATTTCTAAATTTTTATCATTTGACAAAATTTTGATATCTTGCAAAACCGCCAAGAAAAATCAGTCGAAACTTGACAGCGTGAGGACCTTTCCATAATGCCGCACCCCTTTCAATTTGAGCCAATTTATCTCAGTTGCTATTAAAGATATGGATAAGTTGTCGACTGATAAAATGTTTATCATAATATCAGAAACATTTTATCAGTTGATTACTTTTTGATATCTCGCAGAGGGTTAGAGAAAAATTAGTTCGAATTTGACAGCGTGGGGAACCTTTTACCGTATTTTCTCTGATAGAAGCCCACTGAAATCGTCAATTTTGAGCTCGATTATCTTGCTTACTGAGATAGATATTAAAAATTTGTCAACTGATAAAATATTGGTGATATTATGAAAAATAATTTATCAATTGCCAAAATTTTGATATTGACTACGAGAATTGAGATAATTGAGCTCAAAGTTGACCCCTTGGGTTTGTTTCTGTTAGAAGAAACACGGAATTTCAAACTTACATTATACCATTCCAGCAAAATGTGACCAAAGCTGCAATCGTCGTGGAATTTGTATTGCCCCCAACAAGTGCGACTGTAAGAATGGATTCAGTGGTGATGCGTGTGACCAGTGTGTTCCAAAGAGTGGCTGTATCCATGGACAATGCTCTCAAAATGTGCCGGACACTTGTGAATGCAAACCGGGATACGAAGGAGGATTGTGTGACAGAGGTGATAATTTTTCTTGTTTTAAATTTTAAATCGGAATATTAATTTAGAAATTTGTGGATCTCTTAGCCCATGTCTGAATGGTGGTACTTGTAAGATGGATTCGAATGAGCTTCTCGGGTACAAATGTCAATGTTCCCCGGATTTCTCTGGAAAATACTGCGAGACTCCCATCAGTAAAATTCACTGTTCTAACAGGGACATGTGCCAAAATGGTAAGTTCTGGATCTCAGAAAATACTAAAATTATTTGATTTTAGGAGGAAAATGTATTGCGTTGGACTCGACAACAATAACATGCAAATGTAATGATGGTTTTGGTGGCGTTTTTTGTGAAATCCCGGAAGATTGCTCATTGCTCCGATGCTCCGATCAATACAGCTGTTTCTTAATCAAAGGGCGGGCAAGATGTGTCCTCGACGTCGAGAAAACCACTGTAACAGAGAAAAAAGAGCAAAACTTCTTTCAAACCCTTTGGTTTTTCTGTAAGTGAAAATAGAATAGAATTGAAAAAAAAACGTTCCTAATTTTCAGTGTTCTCCCTCACATTCCTCTATTTGTTGTATGCTTCGTCCCCCTACTGGGCCCCATTTCTTCGTCCATCTCCGACCATTCGAAGAATTGTGAATGAACGAATCGTAAGATACACGGCAGGTGCCGATGTTGGCCGAGAAGTAATTAGACTGATAATAAAAACACTGATAAATTATTCATTTTTTCAGTTAGCCATTCTCCACGGATCTCATCACCTCGCTTTAGAAGACAATCGGAGATCTAGCAGCCCGCCGCCCACGTATTCGTCCCTGGATCTCACAGAATCCGGATGTTGCACAGAATCATCAAGTCTGAATCAGCTCGCCTAACATTTCTATTTTTAAACCAATATTTCTTTTCTTCCATGATAGGCTATGGACGCTTTCTCAACATTGTCACTTTAAAAAAAACTTGCTCTTCTGGTTTTTAAAAGTTTCTTCCATTTGTCCTTCTTCTCTCATCATTAAGCGAAATCCTTAAACCGGCTGTAGAAACGAAAATTGTTCATTGAATTATTTCTTTTGTGGGAGATGTGCCAACGCTGTGAAGATTAATTGGTTGCTTATTATAATTTTTACAGTTCAGAATTTGTCCGCGGAAGATTATTGAAATCATACCTGTCGTTGAAATTATTCTGAACACTATAATCATTTTCATTTAGATCAAGAAATATCGCTTCGACACTGAAAAGCACCATTATGCTGCAAAAAAGCTTACAACGTCTCTTAAAAGAATCGGATGGTAGTGAATACTTCCACAGCCACCACGAATCTGTCAATAGACACTGATACTGAGCTTGAAGAGCGAATGGAAGCGATTTTTCTTTTAAATGTAACCGAGATATTTTTCATTCGGAGTTCCTTTCGAAACTTATCCAACGGCGAATTTCAATTGTACTTGAATCACTCTTTTGATTTTTGATAGTCCCACACTCGGCGGTGTCACGAACAGAAAACTCACAGTTTCTTCAAACTCTGGTGCATCTCGAGAAGATTCGGCGACATAAATAAGATTTCTTGTTAACAGCGGAGTGAAGAATATGAACGGCTGAATGAAAAACGAACTACTTTTGTGGTTTTGAGAGAATAATTACCTCAAAAACCTCCACATTCTTCTTCACAATAGCAACAGTTTGATATTAGGAACATTCGAATACACCGGCTACATCAAAGGCCTGTCGTAAGTCCAGAGAACTTCAGTTGGGTGACTTCTTCCGTAAATTTGTGTAGTTTCCCATTTTTGATGCCAAATCCTTCCTCAACTGACTCAGCAGTCCAAGATAATCCTTGTACGACAAACGGGCCCACAATTCCTCCATTCTTGTCTCCGATAAGTCTTCGGTGTTCAACTATCATCCGAATAATTTGCAAAATGTAGCGCTGCCAATTTTCAGAATTTGCGAGTCCTGCGAAAAATGTAAAATAGTTTCAAAATATTCAAAAAACTCACTTATCCTTATACTCCAATAAACTGTTTTTTAAGTCGCAAGGAGCGACGATACGAATGGCAACTCGCGAAAATCCATCATTAGCGGTCTTCTAGTCCCACGAACGAAATTGGAGGAATCAATTCAATGTAAACAGTTGCATGACTGTCGTGGTGGAAAACTTATACGCTTCGGAACCGTCAGATGTGTTGTTACGACCGGAAATTTCCTCTCGCAATGTGCTGTACTTGAAAAACAAACGATTATTGGAAACAAAACTTTTGAAACAGCTTAAAACCAAGTTTTTTATCGAAAACTTGAGAAATCATAATCCAATCTAAAGGGAACATATTCTCTCACAAAAACAGTCCTAACTTATCGCCACAGCATGGAAAGGCTTCTGTGTGAAGCTATTATAGATGAATGGCCATCAATTGCTGCTAAAATCAGCCTTTTTAGTTTCCTTCTACAACTAAATGGATTTCAAAGCACCGCCACAGCATGGAAAGTCTTCTGTGTGGGTTGCGGTGTGATGCCTGGAGCTATTTCAGAGGAAAAAGCGTCAATTGATGCTGAAATCAGCTTTTTTAGTCTTCTTCTACATCAAAATGAATTCCAAAGTACCGCCACAGCAAGGAAAGTTTTCTGTGTGGGTCATGGTGTGATGCCTGGAGCTATTTCAGAGGAAAAAGCGTCAATTGATGCTGAAATCAGCTTTTTTAGTCTTCTTCTACATCAAATGAATTTCAAAGCACCGCCACAGCAAAGAAAATCTTCTGTGTGGGTCACAGTGTGATGCCTGAAGCTATTTTAGAGGAAAAAGCGTCAATTGATGCTGAAATCAGCTTTTTTAGTCTTCTTCTACATCAAAATGAATTTCAAAGCACCGCCACAGCAAGGAAAGTCTTCTGTGTGGGTCACGGTGTGATGCCTGGAGCTATTTCAGAGGGAAAAGCGTCAATTGATGCTAAAATCAGCCTTTTTAGTCTCCTTCTACAACTAAATTGAATTCAAAGCACCGCCACAGCATGGAAAGTCTTCTGTGTGGGTCACGGTGTGATGCATGGAGCTATTTCAGAGGAAAAAGCGTCAATTGATGCTGAAATCAGCTTTTTTAGTCTTCTTTCCTGAGCAGTCTTCTGCACGCAATTTTACGATAATTTTGAAACAAAAACTTACAGTATATATTTGACGACTGAAAAACCAGGATTGCATAATAGAGATGACGAGCAGCCAGAAGATTGTGTGTTCTCCCATTTTATTGATCACATTCCTTCCTGTTTCTTGCGGAGGATGATTCAAATTACGCTCATTCTTCGTTGTGATGCCACCAACCTGAAAATAAATATTTGTCTATACTTCTGTTTTCACAAAATCCGTTAGTTGTGTTCAGAATTCAGACCCACTTTGAAGAAAATGCCTCACAAATAAGTAATTTTTAGCTGCAAACTGCACTGTCAGTCGTTGTCATCTCGATCATTTCCCAGCAGTGTTTGAGGAGCTTCTTTGACACTGAAAAAATTAGTATCAAGCAAATTTAAAATTCGCACAATAAATCAAAGTTCCCAGTAGAATTTGACAGTTAACCGTAAAACAGAAAGGCGTATCGCAAAAAAACAAGGGAGTTGTCCGAGAGGAGTACACGCTGTTTGGGAAGTTCGGCCACACGGCCCTCGCTAGTTTTTTAGTTTTTTTTTCGTTTTTCGAGCAATTTCTTTGCGCACTTATCTGAACCCTATAAGCTAGATTTGTGAATGCAGAAAAATAAAAATGAATTCAATGGAAAGAGGAAAATCATAAAATCATGCTAAAATCAAAAGTAAGTGATTAAGTAAACGGAAAAAAGCACACTTGCAATGTCATCTTAGTTTTTCATTGTTCTTCTGTAATTGAGTAATTAATGAAAAAACACAATATTTTTTGAAAAAGTCGACACTGTATTCAGGCGAGAATTCAGGCGAGAATATTTACTTGATGAGGAGTCATAAATTTGGTGGATATGGACGAAAACGTCACAAAAAACGTAGTCAGTCTTTCAAGATGAGTTTGAACGTCCATTCCAACTTAAGGTTTTTAACACACAGTAGCCAGTATACTTTTTGCTCAATCTTGACTTAATTTTGGTTATCAGAAAGTAAACATTCAAATGTATACAAACTTAGTTATTGGAATCAAAAGCTATTGTCAAAATTGTACTTCCTTGTAGCCATTCACATTATTCTGTCTACCCGGTTTCCCATTAATGAATGCGTGCTCAAGATATATTGCGTAACCTATAAATTTCTAACCAGCCATCTAGTCATGTCTAGGAACACGTAAAAAAGTGTGAGAGAGTAAAAGAGACGAGACGCAGACAGTGCAACAACCGCAGAAGGAAGACCTCTCGTTAGGTCAAAACAGATGGGAATGAACACAAAAAAAACCGCGAAAAAAGGGGGTGTAGATAAGATCTAATATAGAGGTCGACTGACCAATATTACAAACAACGTCTTTTTCCTCATCATTTTTTAGTATTTTTTTCCTGCTATTTCACATTTTGATGAATCAAATTGTGGTTTTTTTCATTTTCTTAATAAAATAATTTTTTTTCAAACTTCAAAATATAGCTGATAATATCATCCCCAAACCAAATTAAAACATTTTTTTTTTGTTTTTTTTTCTTATCACTTATGAGTTATGACTTAAATTTTCAGAAATAAAACTTTTCCTTTACACTCATATTCTCCTTCGGTTCGGCCTCTTTATTTTTCTAGCTCTTTTTTAGATTTTAATCTCTTTGGTGAATTTCAGCTCCGCATCCGACAGGGGCTTAACTCCGTTACGACAAATTAAACAAAGCATTTCAGATGTCGACTTACAATGGTTTTTACTCCCTTACCGCCGGAAGACAGCCCATCGATGACTCTTTCTCCTGGATCAATCTGCTCCATCAGCGTGAAAAAGAAGAAGATGTATCGTTTGTTCCACTCGATGCGCTTGCAGTTCCATTGAAACAGGACTTTCGAGAATCAATTGATGTGGGATACTGGGTAAGTTATTACGGTACACATCAAACAGTAACTATTTTTTTAAGTTTTTGACACGCAGCCAAGAATATGACTCTATTCACAAAAACAAAAAAGATATTAGATGGTTTGCTGAAGTGGAAGATATGTGTGGGTTCTACGTCCTTGGAAGTATGAAGAAATGTGTGGATGAGAAGTTCTGGATCAACATTCTCTCCAGAACGGTTTACAGCCGAGACAAGTGAGTTTTTGCATTCAACAATTTTGAAAATAAATTAATTTCAGCATGCGCCTGGAACCGAATATGGAAGGAAGGGTTATTCTTCTCCCACCGTATAGTGGAGAGGAGTACAGAAAGAACAAACCAGATTATAAGACCGAAAGAGTGAGTGGAACTCTATAGGTTTTGGAAACAAAGCTGTTTTTCAAACGGGCTAATGAAGCATTTTCATACAGTACCGGTCAATAAAAATACGAAAACCTGTTTTTCAGTTGATTTTGACCAGAAGTCTGAAGCTTTACTGAGAGACTTCCAATCTTATTGAAAAACTTAGAGAATTCAAAACAGACCTAGTTTAAGAAAATTTGCATTCACCGAGTTTTTTGAAAGTTCCTAAATTTTTGTCACGATTTCTGAAAGGCACCTCTTTTTATCTGTTATTTTACTGAAAACGTGGAAAAAACATGCTTCTTTCAGAAATCGGTTTGCCTAGCTTAACATTTAGATTTTCAAGAAATTCTGTGAATACGAAACTTCTAAAATTTTTTTGACCAGCCCTGTATATCCACTTCTCGAACTAAATTTTCCAAAATTTCTTTATTTTTGCAGAAGAAGATTCAAGAGGAAGCTGTCAACCACCCTTCAGTTAGTGACGAATTCGATGAAAAGAAGGACAAGTTGGAAGAAACTGAGTTTTTCGTGGGACAGAGACTGGAGCTTCTCGACAATGATGACAGCAGCCGATTGCATGTGGCACGCATTCAAGAGATTAGAGGAAGAAGATGGCGAGTGAAGATTCAGCAAGAAGACTGTCCGACGGATCTAGACAGTATGCTCAACGAGAGTCAGACTGAAAAGGACGGGACGTTTTGGGTGGATGAAGAAAGTGTATTCGTCTTCCCTGTTGGATTTGCGGCCATCAACGGCTACAACATCGTCGCCCAGGATGACTACATCACGCACACTGAGAAAATTAGAGATGCTATCAAAGCCCAACAACATCCAGCATACGATCCAGAGGATATTCAAGAGACGATGCTTCGCAGGGAAGCAATTCCAAAAAATCTCTGGAGTAGGATTGAAGAAGGCCAAAAGTTGGAGTTCCTCGACCCTCTTGACGCCAAACAGAACAAACTGACTGTAGCCTCGGTCCGCAAGGTCTGCATTACTCATGGATACGTCATTGTGAGCGCTGATGGAGATGATGAGGAAACAGTCCCTATTCACGTGATGAGTGGATACATATTCCCTGTGGGATATGCCGAAAAGTATGGCATGAAACTGAAGAAGCCATTGAACTTCAGAGGAAGATACGCCTGGAACAAGTACTTGGCTCAGGAAGGAGCGGTTTCTATTCCAAAAGAGCTCACCAAGCCCGTGCCATCTCAGGAAAGACTGGATAAGTTTGAGGTAATTTTGAGTTGTATCATACTTGTAAACCCGGTTCTTGCCGTGCCTTTGGACCCTGTCATAGTATCTGTTAGTGTATTTTCGGACCAACTGAATTGAATATGACAGAACTAGACGCGTACTACAAAATGATACTATTTGCAAATCTGTCTATTTTTTTATTTGAACAAAGTGGAACTCGACAGCACCGATCCGGGCCTGTTTTTTATTTGTCTAGTCTGTACAGGGTGGCTTTTAATTTCCCGCGCACAACTTTGGCGCCATGATTCTTTTGGCTGGCGCGCACTTATTGCAGTAAATTTTCATTATTGATTCATTGATTCATAATTGATATGTTTGCCAAGTTTCAGCCTTATTGGTTGAGTTTCAGGTAAATGGCAAGCCCTAACTTACACCATGCCACTGTCATCAGTCTTTTTAAGTAGATCGTCAGTCGAATCTAAATCTTCAAACGCATTAGTACTGTCGACATATGGTTTTTTGAGGCAACTAAAAATTCACCGAGTCTGGGTCTATATTTGGTCGCATTGTGACAGGAAGAAAAACTACTGTGACACCTCTAAAAGAGGTCGAAGCTGTTCGAAATCAAATCGGGAGTACCCTACATAAATCCCTCAGAAAATTGGCCATGGTTATGCCTATGTCTTGGGTTTTAATCTAAAAGATAGCCCGAAAAAAAAACTTAATCTAAAATGATATTGTGTCTTAGAAGCCGATATCTTGTCGGAGAGCAATAAGCCATAGACCCTGAAGAAGGCTAAATTTCGTCTTGATGGCACGCGGCGAGGAGACTATTTGGGGTCCGTTTTCTTTGACGAGCACTGGCTCACGATTGAAGCCGAATCCAACTTTCAAAGTTACAGTGGTTAGCCAAGGATATCAAGAAACACTTTAAGTAAAAAAACCATTCCTAGAGTTTCACATCCGAACGGCACTTTGGTTTTCGGTGCAATATGCTCAAATTTCAAATTTCACAGACCAAGACGTTTGTATGACCAAGAAAGTGTATATCGGGGGAGTTTTCAAAAAGCATCTGCTCATATAGATCAAATCCCAATTTGGACGAGAAAATTTGATTCACCAACATGACGGAGCTTCAGCCTACAACTCCAAACGCGCTCCGCAGTGGTTCGAAACGCATCTGAAAGAGGGGAAGAATGACCGGCCTACTCGCCGGATTTGACCCATTTTGACTATTCCATCTGGGGTTATGCGGAACAAGATCTGCTCAAGGCCCCATTTAAGTTTCAAGGCGAAAAGATACTGATCAAGGAATGGGACAAACTTTGGACCGTGCCACCATTGATGCCTACCAAAGACGTCTTCAGATCGTATCTGAGGTGAACGATGACCGAATCAAAAAATTCTTCCTGGTTTTAAATTTTTGCACGTCCAAATAAATATTTTGTTAAGTTTCATCAGTTTTTGGCTTCTACTTTTTGAGAAAAACTCATTCAAAGATGCGCGGGTAATTAAAAGCCACCCTGTAACTTTGTTCACAGACAAGATACACATTCGAAATAGTATCCCCTTGTAGTACTCGTCATAACTTGTTAAAAAGGGGCGTCCGCTAATTCCAAAATTTTTGAGACATTCATATCAATCGATTCAGAATTTTGGGTCGTGAAGAAAACTCTCATGGAGGATAGTCCGAAAATCACTCGTTCTTAAGAAACACGTCAAAAAATTAACATAGAGGGTGCAGATTAGAGAGCTTAACAAGAGGCCAAACGAGTTATTTTCGGACTATCCTCCAAGAGAGTTTTCTTCCCGACCCAAAATTCTGGATCGACTGATATAAAAATCTCAAAAATTTGGGAATTAGCGGACGCCCCCATCAAATGGTTGCCTTGTATGTATTACAAAGCTTATATTTTCAGGTCGGAGCTTACTTGGAAGCATCGGATATGAATGACAATACGAGCATTTATCCAGCACGTATTGTCTCCCTTCACGGCAGACTCGTCAGAGTGTCTTATTTAGGCTACGAGAGCAGTGACGATGCTTATTTTGACATTGAGTGAGTTGATCCAGAATTTATATTGTTTATCAACCTATCTTTCAGCTCGCATAGCTTGTTCCCAATTGGCTTCTCTGAAATCTGTAACTTCAAACTTCAGCGTCCAAAAGTTGAGTAATCCACTATACCTTCTCTCCATCGCTTATTTGTTTGATAAATGGTCATCCCTCGTCGCGTTGTTCTGTCCGTTCTACTCCTACTTACTAACATTATTTCTCTCCCCATTCTTTCACAAATTCTTTTTTATCTTTTTCCTAATTGATTGCCAGTGATATTTTTTCTATATCTTTTAAAATAATTTCCCGGAGTTCTTTCATTCCCCACTCTATCATTCAAAACACCGGTTATGTTAATCATTTTTTTTGTAATTTATGGCTTCTTATTTGCTCAAAACTCTCCATTGAGAATCTCACATATTTTCCCCCGTCTTTCCATTCAAATTTTCACCGAGTTATTCTAAAAAATTTAAACGTTTAATTTCTCTGTCAAAATTTTCCGCTAACTGAATGAATTTGAATTTATCGGACACAATTCTATTAACACGCCCATGGTATAAAACGGACATCTTGTCTTCCCGTTTTTTCATTTACACAAGCACACGGTCGCCTGATCGTCTTATGTTATATTCTTTATTTTCTTTCTTCTTCATTTTTCTTTTATCACTAATTCCAATTCACATAATTTCTCATCTTTTTTATTTTCAAATTTCCTTATATACCAAAACCCTTTTCATCCTTTTTCTTTAAATTCTTAGTTTAATTACCAAAGTTTGAGATAAACCAATTTGTTGTGAAGAAGTTGAGTGGGAAACTTTTTAGTTATCAATATAGAAAGTCTATAAGGCAAACGTCATAAAATAAAATTTTCCTGGTGTTTATAAGTGTTTAAAATTGATTTTCTAGGAAGACAGACTGAAAAATCTTATTCCAACTAGTGTAGCCAGAAGACTTCTTTGCTCTACCTTGGTTTCAATTTTGGTATCAAATACTAAAAATCCATATTTCTCTGATCTCAGTTATTGGATCCGATAAATATAGTGAAAATTGTATTTTCTTGTAGCTATTCACATTATTTCTTTTCATTCTTCGATTCACATGATTTGTTCCTCAAGATCGTTCAACTTATACTTGTAACCAGCCATCTGGTCATGTCTTGGAACACAGAAAAAAGGAGGGAGAGAGTAAAAGAGACGAGACGCAGACAGTGCAACAACCGCAGAAGGAAGACCTCTCGGTAGGTCAAAACAGATGGGGATGAACACAAAAAAAACCGCGAAAAAAGGGGGTGTAGATAAGATCTAATATAGATGTCAACTAACAAATAACACCCACAACGTCTTTTCCCTCCGCATTTTTTTTTCATTTTCCCGTTTTTTTTTCCGGTAACTCACAATTTGACGTTTTTTCATTATCTTAATAAAAAATTGGAATTTTTACTAATTCAACTTTTCGAAATCTCAAAACTTCAAATTTTGAAATTACCAAAGTTCAAAACATAGCTTACCAACTGAAAATGCTCTTTTTGATTTTTCAGAAAAGAGCAAGTCCTAATTCCCGTTTTGAGATTACCAAGGAATATCTCCTGCTAACCGAATTGAAACAAGTTTTGTATTTTTCAATTTTGTTTTTAAAAGAGGCGAGACAGCAAAAATTTCGGGGGACAGTTCGGTGGAAGAAATCGCGCAGCGCTTATGTAGACCATCGGTCGTCAGGCGCCTTCGCGCCCCCGTAGCTCAGCCGGTAGCGGTGCTGTACCCCTGAGCTGCCTGTCATTAGTTCAACCCCTCATGGGGGTTCTCTATGTAAAATATCAGGAAAAACTTTTTTTTTTGGTGTCTGGCCTCCTTCAATTTTGAAATACCTTTCGTTCCCCCAAATCTCCTTCTTCTGTTTGTCCATCCTATTTTTCTAGCTCCTTCTCTTGATTGATATCTCTTTGTTGAATTCTGGCGACAGTTATTTTTCCTTAATAATGGCTTACAAAAATAATGAAACATCTTCAGATGTCGAATTTCACTCCATTCCTATCTCTTTCCGACAAGAGACAACCTATCGATGACTCTTTCTCCTGGTCCAAATTGATCCACCAGCGTGAAAAAATCGAGGATGTCTCATTTGTTCCACTCGACGTGCTTGCATCTCCATTCAAACAGGACTTTCGGAATTCGATTAATTTGGGATACTGGGTAAGTAATTACGGTATAACTTAACCGTAATTTTTTTCTTTAAGTTCATGACACGCAACCACGAGTATGATTCTCTCTACCGAAACAAAAGAAAAGATATTCGATGGATTGCTGAGGTTGAAGATATGTGTGGCCTCTACGTACTTGGAAAGATGGTCTGGACTTTGGATGTGAGATTCTGGGTCAATATTCTCTCCAGCACGGTTTACAGCCAAGACAAGTGAGTTTTTGCATTCAACAATTTGGAAAATGAATTAATTTCAGCATGCACCTGGAACCGAATATGGAAGGGAGGGTCCTCTTTCTCCCACCATTTTCTGTAGAAGAATACAGTAACAATAGTTTCGCCTTCAGGGTGAGTCAAGTTTAGAGGTTTCAAAAAATTAAAAATTCCCTTCAATTTTGCAGAGATCAATTCTCGAGGAAGCTGCCAACCACCCATCTTTTCGTGCGGATTTTAATCAAAAGAAGGAAAAATTGGAGGACACCGAATTCTTCGTGGGACAGAGAATGGAGCTTCTCGACAATGCTTACAGTAGTCAAATGCATGTCGCACGCATCCAGGAGATCAGAGGAAGAAGGTGGCGCGTGAAGATCCAACAAGAGGACTGTCCGACTGACCTAGACAACATGCTCAACGAGAGTCAAACCGAGAAGGATGGAGAATTTTGGGTGGACGAAGAAAGTGTATTCGTCTTTCCCGTTGGATTCGCGGCCATCAACGGCTACAAAATCATCGCCCAGGATGAATATTTGAGACACACACAGAAGATTCGAGATGCTATCAAAGCCCACCAACCTCCAGCCTACGATCCAGAGGATATTCAAGAGACGATGCTTCGCAGGGAAGCAATTCCGAAAAATCTCTGGAGTAGGATTGAAGAAGGCCAAAAGTTGGAGTTCCTCGACCCTCTTGACGCCAAACAGAACGAACTGACTGTGGCCACGGTTCGTAAAGTCTGCACTACTCATGGATACGTCATTGTGAGCGCTGATGGATCTGATGAGGAAACAGTCCCTATTCACGTGATGAGTGGATACATTTTCCCTGTGGGATATGCCGAGAAATATGGGATGGCACTGAAGAAACCGCTGAACTTCAAAGGAAACTTTGCATGGAGTACGTACTTGACTCGAAAAGGAGCGGTTTGCATTCCAGAAGATCTTACCAAACCCATGCCATCTCAAGATAGGTTGGAACAGTTTGAGGTAAGCATTAATTTTTTGAGAAGAGAGTTGTATTCCCAAAATTGTTTAAAATAGCGTATTTTTCAACTGATTTTTGGCATTCTCATCAACCTGTAGCTCGGCTGTTAAGTTTTCGATCATTTTGAAGACGTTAGAGCATGGAAAACAAACCTAGATAGAAAATTTGTTATTTACAGATTCATTTTTCAGTGTAAGAATCTGCCAAAAAAAATTTTTTCCAGAAATCGGCAACTAGCTGAAAAAATGATATTTTTTTTAAATCTGTGAATTCAAAGGGTTCAATCTATGTAGATTAGTTTTGAACCTTCAATAAATTTTAAAGACATCGAAAACTTGACAGCTATATTTCAAACTCCTCAAAATGCCGAAAATCAGCTGGAAATACATTTTCGAAATATATTATCGACCTGTACTGTAATACTGTGTATATATTTCAAACTTATATTTTCAGATCGGAGCTTACTTGGAAGCAGCGGATATGAATGACAATAGGAGCATTTATCCAGCACGTATTGTCTCCCTTCACGGCAGACTCGTCATGGTGTCTTATGAAGGCTACGAGAGCAGCGACAATGCTTATTTTGACATTGAGTGAGTTGGTAAAGAATTTTGTATAGTTTACCAACATATTTTTCAGCTCGCACAGCTTGTTCCCAATTGGCTTCTCTGAAATCTGTAACTTCAAGCTCCAGCGTCCAAATGTAGAATAATCCACTACATCTTTACTTCATCACTCCATTCATTTGATAACTGGTAATCTCTCGCCGCAGTTGTCCCATCCGTTCCACTTCCACTCACTAAATTATCATTTGTCGCCCCAATCTTTAGAAATTTCATCCGTATCTTTTTCTAAGTTGATTTTCAGTGATATTTCTATATCTCTTGAACTCGTTCCCCGAATTTCTTTCATCCTTCACCAGCCCTCTATCACTTGAAACACCGGTGATTACAACATTTTATTAATTTTTGGCTTACTTGTTCAAGACTCCTCATCAAGAATCTCACATGTTTTTCCCCATCTTTCCAATCAAATTTCCGCCGAGTTCGACATTCTCAAAAATTTTAAAGTGTAATTTTTCTGTCAAAATGTCACCCAAAACAAACTCCATGAATAGAATGACGTCTTTATGACTCTTGATTTTCATTATCCTGCTCACTGAATGAGTTTCAATTAATCAGACACAATTCTGCTATAAATAATGAAACACCGGTGATGTTAGATTAAAAATTACAATTTAAACATTTATTTTACAAATTTTCAAGTATTATACAATGGTATCAGTCGTAGGAGGGAAATTTTGGGTTCTCAAAGTTATTTCGACCCGCAAAACAGGCTTTTTCATCAAATGGGGGTGCTGAGTTGAGTCGAGATGCACTACCAGCAATATTGTTTGAACCTACCACTACCTAATTAACATTTCTGGGGGGAGAACTTTTTTCAAATATTGAATGAAGACGACCAAATTATTACATAACGTGCACACCGGAGAGCTCGGGGAGAAAAAATAAACTGACATTCAAGAGAATAAAAACCGATTGACACGTGGAAAATTCTGAAAAAAATCACAATCAACGGGGAAATTACTGGGATGAAATGGAGAAAGGGAAAAATAAGATTATTGGACATTTCAAACTAGATATCACATGTGATTTGAACTAAATATTATGGGAAACATGTTTTGTATGGTAAGAGAACAATTATTGAGCATATTTTCGGGATTACTTGATAATTAAAATTTTATATCAGTTCACAGGAAGCCAGATGCATTGTGATGATGGTCGTCCTCGGTTTCCTCCGTCTCGATGGTTTGAGCATCAAAGTCACAGACTCTGAAAACTTAAAAAATTATTTAAAACCTTCTAAAATCGCCAACCTCTCAGTTTGATCAAAAAGTGAGTAGTGAACCTCATATTTCGAAAGTTTTTCGTTCATTAGTACCATTGGTTTGAATCTGAATTTTCGAAAATTTTAATTATAAATTTTTTCTTGAGTAACGCACTTATATCCCCAGAGAATTTCATCAGGGAGGAATGATGTCCTAGCTTGGAAAGTCATACCAGTAGCCTCAACGATTCCTTCAACGGTCATGATCAATTCGAAGTCAGCTTTCTGGAAATGATTTGAATTCCCAAAAAGAAAAAGAAAATACTACTAACAGCAATATTATCACGAGACATTCCATAAAGTGGGCTGTCCTCATTGATAACGTGGCGGACAATGATTGGCCAGAGAAGAAGCACCCGATCCCAGCCACTATCATATCCGACGTTCATGTCTTTGACACCGATGAGCTCTCGATCCCCACGCTGAAACAACAAATGGTATTCAGAATTTTTTACTCAATAACAAGTGTTGCGAATGATCAAAAAATAGGCAAAATGACATGTTTATGCAATACTGGTCAGTAAGATTCACAAAACCGAATTTTTAGTTGGTTTTTGGCCATTTTAACCATTTTCAGGAGTTCGGAACTGTACAGACAAGTTTCCAATCCCTCTGAAAACTTTGGATGATAAAAAAAACATACCTAAATTACCTAAATTGAATACTTTCCATTCACCGAGTTTTTTGAAATATCCTATTTTTGATCTAATCGACGATTTCGGAGAGATACCTCTTTTTGGTAATTTTTTTGTACTGAAAACGTAAAAAAGGTGTCTTTCAAAAATCGATATACATCTAACAACTAATAACTTTCCAAAAATTATGTGAATGCAAAGTTTTCAATCTCGGTCTGTTTCACACCCTCCAAACTTTTTTTTAATGAACGAAAACTTTGATAGCCATGCTATTATTGACCGGTACTGTATCTGAATCCCATATTACATTTAATCGTACTCTTTATTAATTATACTTTTTCACGTTTCAGAAGTACCGTACCCTTTAGTGAATAAACAAATGAATAAGAAAATTAGATTGTCTGATATTCGATTATTGCGAAACTCCTAAAAAAGATCCGAACTTACACTGTTTATTTTCGAACAAGCCATGTAGAGCCTAACATGGGACTCGGCCAAAAACAGTTTTTCTTGAATATCCGCCAATCTGATCATTAGCGTTGGTCGTTTATCATGTTCATCCAGTGGTCCGATCACTGCCATTCGGGAAAAGCGCATTTCCTGAAATATATTTTTATAATTTTCTTCTATTCATAAGACAGATTTGAATCGAAAAATTTCAATATTTTTAAAGAGTAGGAACGCTCTCAATCTTGATTTAATTTCTCTTGGCTCCTGTGCTAGATATCAAGAGTTTGTCAACTGATAAAATGTTTGTGATAATGTGACAAAAGTTTCAGTGGACAAATTTTTGGTATCTTTAACAAGAGCAAATGTTAGAATAGCTCAAAATTAAGGGTACATTTACTATTATCCCATACTAACCTGCCTCCTCTTCTTTGGACGTAGAATCTTTGCGATAACAATTCCAGCTAGTATTGTTTGTAAAAATACACCAACGACGCATTGAACACAAAGAGTTAGATATGCAGGTGGACAGAGATCCGTCATGTACCGTAGTCCGTATCCTATAGTGTGTTGAGATTCCATACTAAAAAAGTAGAGATTTTTTAAATTAAATTTCTTTATTTTTCAACTTTAAGTTTCCATCGTTTCTTTAAAGTTTTTTCTATTTTTCTATTTTTTTCGATCTTTCATATTTTCTCAATTCTTTTTTTTCATTTTTCCCCATTTTTTGAACACCAATCCCCTAAAATTTTTTTTTGCATAATCTTGTGCTTTCATATTTTTAGTTTTATCACATTTTGATCTCATCCTGTTTTTTTCGAATCCAAGTTTTCTCCTGTTTTTCATCCAAATCTTAAAACAATCAATTTTCTCTGAGTCATTGTTTACCTCTAATTGCTCGAAAAATCTGATTTCTGTGTACTTCAAACAGAAAAGAGCGGAACAAGTTTCAACTGATAAGGCACAACGTATGATTCCTCGGGACACGTGGAAAAAGATACATATGAAGTTTGTAGATTAGAGAAACACAAGGGTTATCTTGTGGTTTCCGTGGGAAGAAAGAGACACTCGACTTTGATTTTGAGATAAAAATGAAGTGAATGTTTGATTTTCAATTTCAGAACAGATGAGCTCAAACCTGTAAAAAAGGACCTTCATACTGTCAAGTAAGACCAAATTTTTCTTGGCCCGAATTTAAAAACACGAACTGTTCGAATTTTTATCCTGAAAGTGCTAGAACGTAGCATTCGTTCAATTCTACCCTATACCCTCATATTCCTTGCCCCTCGTTGCGTCACAAATCTAATTTTTGCACATCTTTCATTTTATTCCTCCACGACGTTTCGAACCCCTTTCTACGCCACCAAATTGGATTTCAAGAATTGGTTTCGCAATATTCCAAAGTTTCTTTTTTGTTGGGTAATTCGTCTACGCTTTTTAGTCTCTAGTTTGATTTCAAAATGTTTGCTCAAAATTTTCTCTTATCAGTCATAGACAGGATGAACGCCACCGGAAGTTTTAAAACGGATATACAGACCAACCTGAACAGGAAGGCGCTGATAAAAGTGTCGACGTTGGCGATGCATGACTCATCCTGAAGAAAATCAAATGAGAAAACTTCTAGAATTTTCAGCTACCCTTACCTTTTTAACCGTCTTCAGTTTAGAAATCACATAGTAGATCAGCGCGAAAATCGTCCATGAAACAATGAAACCGAGTAGAAACAAAATACAAATGGACCTCCAATTGCACTCGATGATGAGATGAAACCAGTTTCTGCAATACCTCCATCTACACAGACGGTGCGAACACCCGTCGTTTTCTCAGGGGGGAGAGTGACAGAAAGAGAGAGAGAGAGAGGTAGAGGAAAACATTGGTGTTCCGAAAAAGAAGTGGGTAACAGAAATTGCACAAACATAAAACCACAAAAGAAGTACACAAAAGCTAGATTCGATAAAGAGAGGTGCACTGTGACTATAGTGGGGGAGCTAGTGTCGAAAAACTTGAATTCTGAGAAAAAAAAACGTTTTTCTTATGGGTAGCTATAATTATCGACCATACAATAAACTTAAAAAATCATGAATATTCTTTATGAGTCTGGAAAGATGTCCTTTTTGTTACAACAATCGAAAAATTAGAGTGTTTTCTGACTTTAACATCTTCTTCTGCAGTAAAAAGAAACAAAAACTAAAGTTTGTCAGTTGTTTTTCTGTCATTTTTCGGAGTCTGGAGCTCGGTGATCGATTATCCGATCACTTTGAAAACATTGGAGGGTATACAACAAAGTTAGTTAAAACACTTTGCATTCACAGGATTTTTTGATAATTAGCAAATTTTCAGCTATTTGCCGCTTTCTGAAAAACATGTCTTTTTAACTGTTTTTGCACAAAAAACTTGAAAAAACAAATGACCTTCGGAAATTGGCATTTAGCTGAATTTGGTTAAAATTCTGCAACAGGTCTTTTTGCTGCTCTAATCAAACTAGTGTTATATTTTTGTTCTTTTCTAACACTAGCATCTTCTTCTTCTATCAAAAATTACGACATGAAACACACAAATTCAAAGCTACAATATCTGTTTTACGGTGAAAACCTAGGGTGAAAACCGACGGTGACACATTGTGAGCGAACATGAAGCAAGAAAATAACATCAACCGTACTTGTATGCTTGTCGGAACCGTTCCGGAATTTGAATATTGTTGAGTAGCGTTTTGCCGTCTTTGGACACCAGACGAGCTCGTTGTACACCAAGTTCCGGAGCTGAACTTGAGAGTCGCCAACCGTCTGGAAAGGAAACACTTGATAAGGTTACATTTATTTGAAATTTTGATAACTACTGTAAAACCTGTGATAGAAAAGCTTCCTAATTGCCTAGTTTGACCATTTTTTCTCTGTTTTTGTGAAAGATAACAAAAAGGTCAACTGATAAAATGTGTAATATTGTTATAAACAATTCATCAGTTGGCAAAATTTTCCTATCTTTGACGGAAACCGAGATAAGTTGGCTCAAAATTGAATGATAAAAGTTCCTTCTATCACAGATTTTACGGTGTTGGCAATGTCAAATTTAACGGAAGGGTTTTTAACTTTGACCCAGTTTATCAAGGTTTCTGTGAAACATATCGAAAATCTTTCAACAGATGAAATTTTTGTGATAATACAATAAACAAATTATCAATTGACAACGTTTTCATATCTTTGACAGGAACCGAGATAATACGACCCTATGGGCACTTCTATATCACGGTTCATGGTAATTGCAAATTGTTAAAATTTTCAATTATTTGATACGTCTCAATTTTTTTATATTTTAAACGTTTTAACGGGTACCATTGTAGAGCCTTTTAAAAAAATGGTTTTTGAAAAAATTCCAGAGATCTGAAATGAGCCCTTATCCAATGTAAGCTGTCCTTTTTTTTCCTCCATCTATGTTTTTTCTCCTTCAATCCGCAAAAGGTTTCATCTTACCCAGAGAACTAGTCGAGCGTAAACCCTTGAACTTTTTCCTTTTCTTTTATTTCATCGGTTTTCCAGACGCTTGACTACCTCTTCCTCCTACACGTGCCCAAAACCCCCTAAAACAATCATCTCGTTTTCTTTTCTAGTTCCGGACATCAACTAGAAGGAAAAAAGAAGAAAAACGGTTAGATGACAACTCACTGAGCTCCTTTTTTGCCCCATTTTCACCGGATAATCGTTCAAGTTCTTCAGCCAGCGACATATTCGTGGTCTGAAAAAAAAGTAGAAAATTGAGATTGATTCGTTATGAAATAAGGGAAAGAAAAAAAAAGGTTTCAGGAAGTGCGTAGAGCGAAGGTTTGAAAATACGAGGGTTGAGAAAACTACAGTAATTCCGATTTTTATAAACTCGACTTAATTTTTCTCTTTTCAAATTTATCACATCCCCAGACGTAGAACAAAAAAAACTCATTTTGGTACCTACACTTTGCCCTCTCTCTTTCTCTCTCTCTTCTAACTCTCTCTCTTCTTGTAAAAGTCTCTCTCTCTCTCTCTTCTTGTAAAAGGGTAATTGGAGAAACACTCTGGAAAAACAGAAGGACGAGAAAGAAGAGAAACAGAGGGAAGGAAAAGGAGAAAAAAATTGGTGGGGTGTAGAAAATTGAAATGTGATATGGGTCGAAGGCGTCGTTAGTTGCGGTAAAACGTTGAAGAAACCCTCCTTTTTTCCTCCTTTTCTTGCACTCCTTTTCTGGGTCCAATGACGCGTTCTTCTACATGGGAAAGAGCAATAAGAGCACTAAGAAAAAGAAGAGAAAAGAAGAAACAAGTCTGAATCTGGTTTATTGGCTCAGAACAAACGGCATTGATGATGATGAAGAGGAAAAGAATAAGAAGATAGCAAAAAAGGGTATGACCCTGTCTTGTCTCTTGCCCCATTGGACCGGATTTTGATGTTTTTCAGATGAAAAAGAAAGAAAAAAGAAGAAGAAGAAGAAGAAGACAAAGGAAAAAGCATTGAAAGAGCAGAAATTGAATCTGACGGCTCAGGAATAAGAAGGTTACAGAGTACACGGATCAGTTTTTTTTGTAGTCTGAACATTTTTGAAACTTTACAAGAGAAAAATTAAAATACGCTAGGTTCAACCTATGTACAAAGAAAAATCTGAATGTGAGAGAAAAATAATGTGCTACAAAATTATTTTCCATGAGCACGCCCCGGAAAATGGATCTGCCACCCCACGTGCTTCAGAAAAAGTGGGGGAAATAATGGTGAAGAAAAATGACTGGATTTGATCTACCGAACTTTTTCATAATGAGGCTTTTTGGTACAAGAAGACAATAGGACAACATTTTTCGGGTTTTTTTGAAACAAAGAACTTTGCAAAATTTTGAAAAGTGACGTGAAAGTCATTTCATTTTATTCATCGTAGTCATTTTCTTAGAGCAGATGTTCGAAATAGAGAAAGCTGACATAAAAATCATAAAAAATCATGACGAAATGGAGATAAATTTGAATTTTCATGATATTCTGGAGAAATGAAAAAGTTTATATTTGAGAAATGATGATAAATTTCAAAGAATTTTTATAATCAGAGGTTTTGAATAGGCTGTAATTGTGGGGTAAAAACATTGAAGCAAAAGTGTATAATGAGAAAAGAAAATTTTGTTGAGGAGATAAAGATCTAGTCCAAGAAAACTAAGCAGAATTTCATAAATTGTGAACATGGAAATTTTCAAAATTTTCAAAACCATCAAGATTCTCTTTTTCAAACTTAAACTCAGAATTCCCAGAAAATGTCAAGGAATTCAAAAAAAAAATCATTAAGGCCCTCCGAACCGTTCACTTTGAGCTTGATTATCTTGAGTTTTGCACAAGATATCAAATATTTTCAACTGATAAAATATTCACCAGATTATCATCAACAATTGAACAGTTGGCAAACTTTTGATACCTTAGACAAGAATCGAGATAACTGAGCTCAAAATGAACGTACAAAGTGGGATTCTATCAGATATTCTATTCTAAAAAGTTTAAATAATACTTGCTCCAAAATAAGCCTTCCCTATAAGACATTAAACTCAATTATCTCGTCCCTATGAGAGATGTTCAGAATTTGTGATTTGATAAAACACTGGTGATGATATGATAAACAGTTTATCAGTTGACAATTCTTCGACATCTGTTAGAGCAATCGAGTTGATGTGGCTCGAAGTAAAATATTAGAGACCCTTAAATCACCGTTTTCATGGTATTATAATAAAACCTTTAAATCAATTCTATATTTCTCTTTGTTTCAGCCGAATCAGAATCTCGCTGCAATCCTAAATATTCAAATGCCACAAATACTGTATAAAATATTCTAGCACCTCAAAAGGTCCAAAAAAAGGACATGGCCTGCGGGGGGTGACAAAAAGAGACATCAAAGTAGAGTGAAGAAGAAAAACTGAATGTTTTGGCGGGAAGGGCAAAGTCAAACTCACGCATTTCCTATTTGATTTCATAAAACCGCGATTTTCCCACACTTCGTCGACGACCTCCTCTTCTTCGTCAATCATGGCCACCAACAACAGAAATGAGTAAACAGTTAGATTCCAATATCTTTATCAAAGGCGATACTTCTAGCCGCAGAAAGTTTTAGGGCTCACAGAGTCGTGATAACTAGACAAAGCGAACACAATATGGTTAGGATAGACGTCAGTTTGATGCTCCAGCGTGTGTCTTCTTTGCTCGTTTACAAACACAAAACACCACGTCTCTTCTTTTTTGGAAAACGCGGAAAATGGGGGATGAGGGGATGCCCCGATGAACATCAATGCGTCCTCCTTCTCTCCTTTTTTTCTAATTAGTGGGAGAAAAAAAGACGAAGAAGTGAAATGAATGATAGGACACTACGACGTCTTTGACAAGACGATGTCAAATGGTGTTTTCTATCTTTTTTCAACTAGAATTTCATTTCGACTCATTCTGAGTAAATGAGCAAAAAAGGAAACATACATGAATGTTAAAAATTGTAGTGATCCTTAGAACTCTAAGACTTTCGAAACTTTTTGAAAACTCTGCAGTCATGCGAAAAAAAATACCTCCCCATTAGTTTACTTTGAAAATTTGACCAACCAAAACTCAATACTCAGGAAAAAAGAACCCGAAACTTTTAAAAATTCACAACCCTCAGCGACCCATATGGGCATTTTTTTGACGTCTTTACTTGACGCTTCGGGTTTCACATTCTAAACAGGGGGAGAAGGGGAGACATCAGAGACCGAGTGGGTGGGGAGCATGCTCAGGTGTCCATCAAGGTAATGGCTACTTGCTCTTTGAAAGTTGAAGCTGAGCATTGAAAATTTGAAAAACATGCATTTTCTAATTCTTAGTCCATATTCAATTTTTCATAACTGAAAAGAAAATCCTATTGGTTCTCAAAAAGGAAGCAATGAAAAAATGTAATAAAAATCTATTCATGTAAAAAATCAAAAATAAGTAGATGTATACCTTAAATGGTCTCATTAAAGCTTAACCTGCTCTAATTAAAGCTGTGCATTCACTTTGAACTCGATTATCTCGGTTCTTTCAAAAGATATCAAAATAATGTCAAATAATAAAATATTTAGCGTAATGTAGCTATCATTTTCTTATTTAACAAAATTTTGACCTCTTTTACAGGGATCGAGATAATTGAGCTTGAAGTTGGCGATAATTGAGCTTGAAGTTCACCCGAACGGTGGGCTTCTATTGGTAAAAAAACGGTAAGTGAACTTTGAGCTCGATTATCTTGGTTCCTGTACTAGATATAAAAAAATTGTCAACTATCAAATTATTCATCACAATGTCACTAATATTTTTTTAGTTAACAGATTTTTGATATCTTGTGAAGGGACCGAGATAACTGAGTTCGAAGTGTAACTGGGCTTTTGTTAGAGCGTTTACGGCAACTCGAAAATGTGATATGAAACCATCCACATCAAAAATTGAAGTTCAAAAATCAGAACATATTTTCTTCCGACATGGTAACCATTACGCCCATTGGGAACTAGTGAAACTAGTGAAAAAAAATCTAGATCCATAAAAAAGGGAAAAAGTTGAGAAAGGACAAGACATCTCTGAACCAAAGCCTTCTCTTCTTTTTCTTTCTTTTTCTTTTTTCTCCATTCTCTGTAGATTAATATTCATTTGAAATCTGATTAATCCTTCTCTTTATTTTTTTCTCTTCTTTTTTCTCTTTTGCACTTTTTCTTTCATTCTTTCTAGCTATTCACAATATTCATCAGGCGCTTTTGACAAGAAAAATGAATGTGGGAAATGAGGGACATTTTTTGGGTAAAAGGTTCTGGTTCTTGGTTTTCATTGTAACCGAAATTATGAAGATTTGATAATGAATCTGAACCAAGATCTTTGTTAAGAGAGTTTAAATGCTCTACTTTTTTATACCGGACAGATTAAAGTGCTGAAGAAAAACCTGTAATAAATAAGATTTCAAACTTTGAACTTTGAGTCAATTTATCTCACAAGAGAAGTACCCGAAGTGTCCCCTCGCTTTTTCTTAGATATTGGTATCAAAAAATGTCCCTTCCTTGGACTAGCACAAAACGGATAATATAAGATGCCCATAGGCAGAAATGACAAAACTTTTTGTGATTTTTCAGAAAAAGTAGATCAAGTCCATTCAAAAAACCATAACTTTGTACAGAGCAAAGGTAAAATTACAGACTAACATGCATCTTGTAGAACAAATTACAGGCTACAAAAAACTCAATGACACCTATATTCTATCTTGGCGAAGAAATTTACAATGGTCCGATCGTATGAAATCAAAAAATGTCGATTTTCGAAAAAAAAAAACACCTTTGGTAGACTATGTCTATCCGATTCCTTTCATGTCATAATTCAAAACTATAGTCTCAAATATATAGCTCACCGTTCATTTAAGAGGAATTTTTGAAAAAGTGAACAAAAAAAGTTTCGAAAAAAAATTTCACATGTTAAAGTGAGTATGTAGAGG